GGGTCAAGTGGGACCTCGATGGGACTGTGCTGTGGCCAGATACAGCCCTGACTCTGTAGCAGCTACCTTTGGATGGCAAGGAGCTGATAATCTTGCAGGACCTGGCTTGACTCCATGAGGAGGAAGGCCAGTTGCAAGCAGGTTATTAACTTGAGCTCTGCTCAATCCAAAAATGGAGCCACTCAAATGTCAAATGCCGAAAGTCAAAATTTCAGTAGTTGGTATTATTTCAGATGAGAACTTACAACAGTCCCATTTGAAGATATCTATGTCTGAAGACCTTGTTCAAATATAGTGACCTTTTCGGAGAGATAGTTCTGTACTGGTAGTTATGTTCTTATCACCGTCATCCTTCCCTCTGATTATTGATATGTTTTATGAATTACAATACTTATGTCTCTGTCAAAAATATTTAACTCCATACGATCTTGAAACATGGAACTAAAAATTACATTAAATGTTTAAATACATGAGAATGGAGCATTTGTTTCATTCCATGGAATATATCAGACTTGTAGTATATAAATGTGTTAAATATCATGTGTAATTCATAGGACAGTTTTAGGTGATGATGAATATTTTTATTCCCTCTGGCATCCTCACCCACCAAAGTGGGTTTCACATTCGTTTTCAAAAACCATCTTCTAATTGGTGCTGACAGTGTGTGTCCAGTAGATGCTAAAAAACCACCTCTCAACCTAACAGCCTCTGCCTGGAGTCACTACCATCCCTGTTGTACGGAACAGATGATAGTGGCATCCACTGATACCACTTGTTACACAGGCAGATGGCATGGAAATGCTTTTTTGAGACTGGCCAAGCAAGGAAGCCATTACTAGATCTCTTCTGGAAAATTGGTGTTTACACTCTCAGTGGATAAATTTATAGGTTACAGGCTTTGGCTTACCTGCAAAACCTCTGAAACTGACTCCAGAGAGGCCTGCAAACCTTGCACAGTCTCTGTCCTTCATTCTGAATAGAGCTTACTAACTGATTAATGCCAGTAAATTTTGCTCTCTTATAAAATAATAGTCAGTAAACTCATGCTTTCTAATATGTCAGAACATATGTATTTTGTATGTTCTTCTGCTCTGTCTTGAGTTAAGCATGGTCCTTAGCAGGAATTACAGCTGATTCAAATGTACTATTTAAGGTACAGTGCATGCAAAATAACATACGCCCCTGACTCTTGATAAGATGCTCTGAGAACCTGAGTTCTAGTTGGCTTGAAGGAGATGTACTGCGTTATAGAGCACTTTGTCCCTGATGTTGGAAAATGTCCAACATTTCCATTCAATATCTAATAATACTTTTGAGCTCACATTAAGGCAGCCCTCTGCTCAGAGATTTTAGGAAGTATAATAGAGCAAGAACATAGTGCCTTTGTGGTGCTGACTGTGCTTCCTTTCATGTCCTTGGTTACTGAGGTGGTTGCAGTTCTCACGTCTCCTCGCTGGCATCTCTCATCTATGCTTTTGGGTAATCAAATAAAATCCGCTAATCTGTTGAAGTTCCTGCTAGATCTGTTCTTGTAAACAACATTCTCATAAATACGAATATATTCTGACTCCTTCTTAGCAGTAGCATACAAGAGATGACCATGGGGTTCTTCACAGAGCCTTAGCTCTGCCCTTTATCAAGCTCCTGGGTGAGACAGAAGCGAACTCAAAAGATAGGATGTGTTTCAGAAAAAATAATCCCATGTATTCTGAGGGCTATGAATGTTTACATGCATGTTTAATTATACAGATTATCATATAATTTGTCTGACTCAGAACTATAATATTAATAAATAAAATCATGAACTTTAATGGCATTTACAACAAACGCATGTCAGCTCTCACACTGTCTTCAGTGCTGGCTTTATAGTGCTGCTGATGGTGCAGTTACAGTATGCCAATGTTTTCTTGAACTTCTGTTTAATTGTACTTTAACACAGTTTTTCTCAGTGATACATTAAAAAAAGCAAACCAAGCAAACGACTTTGATGGTATGGCACCATCAATTGAATGATAATTCAATTATTAAAAGTGATAAGAACTATAAATGCATTAATGGGTTCTTTAAGACAGTTCATGACAACTACGGTCTTACTGAGAAACTGCTGACAACTTTTAGGCATAAACATATGGCAGTGCATGAAAGTCATGTTCTACATTTTAATAGCACACATATGGGCAAAAATCCACATAGTGGAAAACTAGTGTAATCTAGTTTTTATCATAGATGACTTTTTTTTCAGCTGGAAGTAATTAGATTGCAGACTCTTCTGCTTAGCTTCATTTAATTATTAATATTAGTGTGTAGTGTCTGAATAAAACTTATGGTTCATTGCTTCATGTATAGCAAGTAGTATGAAAGTAGCATCTCTGCCATAAAGAGATTGACAGACTTACAAAACATGAGTACTTTTATTGCAGCATTTGGTATTTGTGCCAGTAAGCAGCCCTGTCAGAGGTTCCATAGCTAAGATATAAACCGAATTACTATAAACATAGACCTTATATCAGAGATATTGAGGTTTACAGTTGAAGATTCAAAGGTATTCACTGGCTTGTATGATTTACAGAATTACCTTCTATATCTTCATGAGACATATATATATATGTTTTCAAGAGTAACTTTTCTTTCCCTGAGTATTTTACTGTAGTTTCATCTCCCATTCCATTTGTGGCTAGTTCATTTAATTGGTAAAATAGCTGCTTGCCCTTCAGTAGCTGCCAGTATTTCTTCCAAAACAGAGGCATCATCCAGGTGAGATCCAAATAACATTTATACTGTTACATCAGAAATTGAATACACCCTAGAATGATTTAGATACCTCGTTCAGCAGAAAAAGGACTTTTCTGTACATACTTCCCTATGTACTAGAGTGTATAGGCAGTGAAGGTTCTGATTCAGAGTATTAGCTTTTATGCTACATTGAAAGAATGTCACAGTATCAAAATTGCCCCATCTTCCAGTTGCTATAAAGTTGGTTTATTAAAGGTAGTTTTGTTTTGAAACTGTGGTATATATGAAAAAGAACAGCACATTAAAACAATATTTTATATAATGCAGAATTGACACACCCCTATCAACTAATCTCTGCTAACGAAATAACCCTCTTCCCCACTAAAAGCTTCCTATAAATATTTTTGACAGGCTCTGTTGATATGAGATTTACTTAGTCGTGGAATTTGTGTGTAAGTTAAACATGCCTAATGTAAAAGAATTTGTCTTTTGATTCCACTGTGTACATCCTACACCTTTTTGGAACACCCTTCACTGAGAGCATGTAAGTGAATATAGGACCTGAGCTTATTTATCTGTTTTATATTTATAATCTAACATACCTGCAGGCATGTTATTTATATAATAAACTATACTTTTAGTCACTTATTAGTATTTAGGAAAAGTAATACTATTTCAGTGTTTCATTGAGCCCAAAAGAGTTCAATGGTTACATCAGTAAAACACCCTGTCTGTAATTTGGATACAGGGCTGTATTTTCTAATATGCTTGTTTTTCCTACAGTTAGGTAGATTATGCTGGGTTTTTTGGACAGCATTACTTTGTGTAGAAGTTTGGGGATTTACATGCATGACGATTAACATTTCACTACATAATAATATTGGAGACTGAACTGTGTTTTAATTGTGACAATAAAGCAGACCTGTTATGAAACCAAGGCGGAAGGCCAAGTGCTTCCTACCTCTAGAGACAGTGCAATTTTAGATTAGCAGTGTACATCACGTTGCTCTTAACTGCTTTTATAGAACATTTCCAAGTCATTCAAGACTGTTCTGACACCCTTTAAATCACTGTACTGCCTGAATCCTGGCAGTGAGGTCTCTCATTCACACCTGCACACACCTGCAGTTCTTGCCTGTAAGCTGCAAAGCGATGACTTATTATCTGCATTCTGAACAACCTGTTACCATTTTGCAATAAATCAAATAAATTGGACTGCTCATCTTAAAATTCAGGGAATGTCCCTTATCTTTCTCAAACGTTTGTGTGTCTTTTTTTCTCTAAAGGCTCACCATTGTTACCAGTGAGAAACAGTAGATTAGTATTGTGGGAAAGAGTTACTAAGTGTCTGTAGAACAAAAAGAAGAATATTTAACAGTTAAAATTTGGCATTTGTTTTTAAACAAATTCGTTTCATATGATACTGCATATATGTATAAGAAAAACTGAGCATGAGTGTGAGTGGAATCAGAAAAGAATTAGAAAATACTAGATATCAGTTTTGTCAACATCCTACACATTAGAATATGTGCACACCCACTTGTGTTCGTTAGATGGCAACAGAAAGATAGATGAAGATAAAGAAAAATGAAGTGGGTCTGACTGCTAAACAACATTATTCCTGTATCATTCAGTGTTGATGATGATGATGACAGTATGAATTTCTGAGACAGTATGAAACACTAAACATACTGCTTTTGTAGTTTTTCTAACACTAATTTATCACAATTCGGATTATAAGAGATAGGAATCTTTTCTGTCAGTGTGATCTAGTGCTTTAGAGATGCAGTTGCAGATCTGTGCCGCTTTGCTGACAGAAGGGCAGCAGTGTACATAGACCTGTGAGGGGCAGGGCCTGCAGTTCTCACTGCTGGCTTGTGCAGCATTGTTTTGTTCACAGGGATTGGAAGAGGTGCAAGCCAGGATTGCCGTGGTGACACTGAAAGAAGTTTCTTTTGCTGGGATTTAGTTGCTTCCTTGGTAAAATGATAAAATATGATGTGATGGGAAACAACTGCCCTGGCCAAGAGTTTCTCTTCTAAAGTAGATGACGGTGTTCATGATTGCAGCAGTTTGTAATGGCTTCTGGGTTTGCATAGATGGTAAATATTTCTAATGTTATCTCCCCATTTAGACTGCGCACCTTGGAATATAGTGTCTATACATGGGTAGGTAGTCAGGTGTTGTCACTTGTGTAGTTCCATTTACCTCAACACATCTGCCATGTGACTGGAAGTTATTCATGCTGTGATCTCCATCTGTTCCAGCGTCTTCAATCCTGAAGAGAGAGAAGCGGAAGAGAACAAAAAATGTCCATTTTAACTGTGTTACTGTGTATTACTTCACGAGAAGGCAAGGCTTCACCAGTGTTCCCAGCCAAGGGGGAAGCACACTGGGAATGTCCACTCGCCACAACAGTGTGCGCCAGTACACACTGGGAGAGTTTGCGATGGAACAGGAGAGGCTTCACCGGGAGATGTTGAGAGAGCATCTGAGGGAGGAAAAACTCAATTCTCTAAAGTTAAAGGTAAAAATTGTTTAAGACTTTGATCCCCGCCTTATTTATTTAAATGAGTGGTGTCAGAGCCATATGGGCCCAATGCGTGTTAAACATTTTCAATTGAAACAGGCATTTTTATTTTTTCATTCTTTATTTTATTTTACTGAAGATGTATTTTTGTTTGATAATACCAAGCGCTCTTGTAGCTGTCATTGCTGTGTACCTCCAAGTGCTTTACAGGGAGGTTGTTGTTTATTCCCAGTTTTCTATAGAGAGGGAAATAAAGCAGGGTGGTGGAAGTTAGCCTTGAACTTCCATGTCCAGCAGACGTCTGGGAGTGCCAGAAAGAGAAGGAGTCTTCTGACGTGTGCACAGGCCCTATTAGACAAGGGAATGGTAACACCATGAGTACAGAAAATGAAAGGGCTTGTTTTTTTGGCCAACTTGAGTGAATTTGGCAAAAAGTAAGAAACAGTAATACCGAAATGTTTTCTTTTGTAGTGTACCAATTTATATGATTATGCGTCTTTAATATTTCGTCAGAGAATGTCTGTGTCAAAGAAGAAATGTGTCAGACAAATTACCCAGCTGTATCAGTTTAGCCAGTCAGAACAAACCTTTGCTACAGTTTTCACAGAATCACAGAATCAATAAGGTCGGAAGGGACCTCTGGAGATCACCTACTCCAACCGCGACCACCACGAAGGTGGGGTCATCTAGGGCAGGTGACACAGGCACACGTCCAGGAGGGTTTGGAATGTCTCTAAAGAGGGAGATTCCACGACTTCCCTGGGCAGCCTGTTCCAGTGCTCTGCCACCCTCAATACAAAGAAGTTTTTCCTCATGTTGAGATGAAACTTCTCGTGTTTTAGTTTATGGCCATTGCTCCTCATCCTGTCATTGAGCACCACTGAAAAGTCTGTCACCATCCTCTTGGCACCCACCTTTGAGATATTTATTTGCATTAATGAGATCCTCTCTCAGTCTTCTCTTCTCTAGACTAAACAGGCCCAGCTCCCACAGTCTCTCCTCATAAGAGAGATGCTCCACACCCCTGATCATCTTTGTGGCCCTCTACTGGGCCTTCTCCAGTAGCTCCTTGTCTTTCTTGAACTGTGGAGACCAGAACTGAACAAAACACTCCAGATGTGGCCTCAGTAGGGCCGAGTAGAGGGACAGGATCCCCTCACTTGACCTGCTGGTCACACTCCTCCAATGCACCCCAGGATACCATTGGCCCTCCTGGGGCCAGCTTCCCCATGAAAATGTCCTTTTAAGTAGAGCATAGCAGAGGAGAGAAACTCTGTATTTGAGCAGAGAACAGAGAAGGGGATTGTGTTCTTGGAAGTGTCCCTTCTGTCACTTTAAAACTGGTGGCAGAACATTTTATGTTTTTGTGGTGGATGAAACACTTCTTGTGTCATGACCTTTATTACATGTATTTTGGGCTCTTTTTCAGATGAAGTCTGTAATTAAAAGTGAACAATATTTAGAACTGTAACTACATTTCAGTGTTGCACGTCCCCTTCTTTTGTGATAGTACATCTCTGTCTCTGCTGTTGTCCAGAGCAAAGTGGCACCCTCCAAGTTTAAGAAATGCCTTTCAGCATTTTTCCCATAGAATGACCCATGTTCATGAGTTTTGTATCTGAATGTTTGAGGAAGTGTGCATGACCTATACATTTGTATTTACTTTTTTCAGTCTCCTAATTGTTTTTTTTTACTAGATAAATAGATTTTAAATAGCTAAATGGATTCTAAAATAAATTAATAAGTTTGTAAAATTTGATCTGTTATAAAACAAACATAAAACCACTCAGGACAAAGGCAAATTAAAGACAGATATTAGACAGGTTAGAGTGTTAGTGACTTATCACTAGATAGAGATTATACCTCTAAACATCTCATGTCACAGGATCTTGAGAGCATCAAGTGTGAATTGTGCTGTTTGAGTTTAACTGATGACTATCAGTAGAACCCTTGGCTGACTTCCAGGAATCAGCTCAAAGAGAGGAGTCTCCAGTGAAGTGAGTAAAGAATAGCCAAGCACGTAAATATTTCACTTTTCCTTTTTTTTTTTCTTCGCTAAAAAGTAAATAAAGAAAAAGCACAGTTCGTATTTAACTTGAAAGATTTGATGAGGCCTCTTAGCCTTCATCTATATAGATTAGAGCTGGGCTCTTTGTCCTTTTATAGTCCTCCTCTTGACTGGGATGGATTTCTTTTCTTCATTAACTTACTTCACTTCAGCCCAGTCTTTTTTGGGGATATAGACGCTACTTTCTGCTTGTCTTCCAAATACAACATGTTCTTCCATCTTCCCAGTCACTTGTTTTAGTAGATGATAATCTTTATTGAGACTAAGTTCCTGCAAAATCTCTTCATAAGTATTCAGTGAATAAGGAGAGCCTTATTTGCATCTTAGTAGTGTTAAATTTTTTGCTAGAATAAAATATCTCTTTTCCCCCTGGGGTGTGTATAAAAACGTAGCCAACAAAAAACTTCCTTTTTGAACTAGTCCGTTAATCTCAGTTTACTTGCATCCCTGATTATGCACTTGGGATAAAAAAAAAATTCAAACATAAAAAGCAAGTCCAGGATTTACTGAATTAGTGAAGAGTCACTGTAATTGTTTGCTTAAGACAACAGGGCTGATTTTCCATTATAGAGATGGAAGAGCTGCTTGGTCATTCACATAGTTTCTAAATGAAAACAAAAAGGAAATGGCATTCCGAGGTGGCAATGTCAGCAATTATGGTCTTTAATGAAAATGTGCTAATCAGGTTTGCATCAGAATTTCTGTACATCCCAGAAAAATGAAGGAAATGAGAAAATGAAGTAGAGCAAAGTTTGCTCAGAGGTTTTTCTGTTTGAAAAACATTATGCAAACAGAAAGTAACATTTTCGGTGTGGTTTTTAATTTGTTTCCTTGAGATTTTTCTTATTTTTTGCATTGCATTAAAACATACAAGTCAGTGGGTAGAAAGTGCTCTCTCTTGTAGAATTTGTTTAAAAAAGATAGAACTACAAGAATATATTGAAATTGAGTTTCCATAATATTAGGTACTATTTATTATTTTGCTTGCCAAAAGTGAAGGACCAAATAAGAAACATGTCTAATTAAAAGCAGATAAAGACACTGAAATCATCTTCAAGTCATTTTGACCATTTAGCACCAGCACTTTGGTGTAAACAAACACTGCTGACAGTGGCATAAACACTTGTTAGCAGCAGAGTGTGAAAATTCTAATGGCAATCTGGACATAAAAGACATACTGTCAAATGAAAGGTACAAGGTAGTCATTTGAGAAAACATTGAGTAAGCACAATAAATTAGCTGCAATAGTCCTTATTGCTTATTCATAATGTCTCCTCAAATTAAAATTTATTATAACGATTAGCATGAGACTAGTGATGTTAAGGCTCACAGGTCTATGGACACAGCTGGTTTCCTTTGTGGGAAATTATAAGGAATAATTTCCACCTAGGACAGGCAAAGGTGTCCATCCTAAATTTTACTAAGTTGGAGTGAATTTCACCCAAAGGCTTCACATATTCATTGGCCCTTACCTTGTTCAGTGGTTATGGCATTAACCTTTAGCTTAATGAGAGAAATTTACCCATCTACATGTCAAATTTAATTCAGATGAGCAATATTATGACAATCAAGAGAACTTAATACTCCCCTGAAGTTCTGTATTGGAAAATGTATTTGATGGTTCATGATAATCTTACTCCCTCTGTAGTTACCCAGTTACTTGTTTGAATAATGTTAGAATCTTTCAGTTCATTAATTCATTTGTTCTTTGTGTGGCAAAATTGAGGGGAAAAAAAATCAGAGTAGACAACAAGGAAATCATCCAGCAGAGGAGTCAGGAGCGAAGGTGCTTTGAAATGGCAAACTGCTGCCTAATCCTGCTTGATGGCCAGGAAGTTCCAGCCTGCTGGAGGCATGCAGTGTTCAGCATGTGACTGGAGTCCATTCCCTAATGCTCTACTGCTGTGTAGCAAGGCAGTTAAGATTTGCAGAGGAGGAGGAGAAATACAGGACAGGATTGGTGTGGTTCTGTAGGTGCCTTTGTGAGCTGAACAGTTACAGCATTCACCTCATGGGTAAGAACCTAAAAGTTAATTTTTATTAAGGAGTAATTGAATAAAATGCTAAAATAATTAAAGAAGCGGGGATTAGAATTCTTCCCCATCCCCAGTTTCAAACTTAAATAACAGTGATCTGCTTAAGGAGTGGTTTGAGCCTTCCATATATAAAAGTAGAGAAATCAGATTTCTTATGTAGGTCATTTCCCTATTATGTATGAAACCAAAATAAGGGCAAGCAATGAAACATAAAATACGCTGTACTTAGTTCTACCTTGCTAACATAAAATGAAAAATATAAAAAAACCTGAAGCGTGCCATTCTGGATTGGAATAGTCAGGCTGAGTTTTGTGTACGGTGGAGTATTCCCTCTCCTTCACTTCAGGCAACTAATTCAAGATGCATTTAATCACTGTGTGGATTTACCTGTCTCTCGCTGCAGAATGTACAGACAAAGGGATGACTTCTAATGTTGCCTTTCCTACCTTACTGAACTAATATGTTGAAATACTTGGTGTAAATAGTCTCTCCATTGTCCCAGGGCCAGGCAGAACCTTTCCCAGCCACTGTAATGTGAAATGCATAAGAGAAAATGGAGTAAGAAAACAGTCTGAAGGAAGTTTGAGAGGACATTTTGAAAATGTGTGTATTTAAGATGAAGAAAGAGCTAGAAGGGATTTGAATGTTACAGGGTAACAGACGATACATGAAACATTGCATAAAATGAAGGCACTAAACTCCAAAGGCTTCAATCAGGGAGAAAGTTTGAGAATACATTGAAAAGAGAAAGAAACAGTAATGCTTATAAAGTGGGTTGTGGAAGTGGCAGAACATCTCTCGATGCTGAATTGCTAAGAAGGGATGATTGCTGATCTCAGGAGAAATTTTCTTTGTGCAGTGTAATAAGGACTACCAGTCATGACCCTGAGACTCCTGCTTTAAAGGGAGGAGTATGGCTTTTAACCTGCCTTTACAAGTCAGGAGTAACTAGGTTTTTGGGTTTTTTTCCTGTGATTGTCTTACACAGTTGTTATAAGCACAAAACTGCAATTGCCAAAAAGAGTAAGCAGTCAGTAGGAGGACATTGTCAAGGAATTCAATAATGCCATAAATGACAGTTACAATCCAAAAGACTGTGGAAAGGATGACCTGTTAATATTTATGGGAAACTTGAGCAATTGGCAGTATAAGAAAAGCAGAAATAGTGGAATGGGTAAAATTCAGGACTGCTTCCTCGTACATCAGAAACATAGCTAGATGGAGATGACACAAATTAGCAGAAAAATGGGGAGTTACTTTTACAGTGATAATTGTTAAATGACTAAATATTGAAATGCACAAGAAACAGGCTATGGTACTTATGACTTCAGTATTTTATCTGTATTTAAAACTGGTGCCTAAAAATTTCTTTGGGATAACACGCCAAGGTGAAATTTTCTGCAAGTAAATAACGCAAAACCAAGAAAGAGTTTCAATGGCTATTTTTCTATAGGTAAGAAACATTCAAATGACATGTTTGTAGTGAATGTCATTGTCTCTCTGAATTTTGTTTTAATGTTTGATATTGTTTTGACTCTCAAGCAATTTTCTCTGTGGAAGAACTTTTATGAAACCTGTGGTTGAGTTATCTGGCAGATATAACCAGTGAGCTCTACCTTCCTTCAGAGCAGTAATTTTTTTCCCCTTTTCTCTTTAACTATATTCACCCCTTTCTCTATGAGATGAGTTACAGGAGTATGCTACAGAAGTGTGGTATCTTATGAATGTGGCACTGGATGTTTGTTCTTAATGCTCATGGCCATTTAATTTTGAAACAATTTTTGAAAGGTTTGAGAGCTAGACTGTACAAAGGTAATAATATAGTGCCAGGATACTTGTTTCTATAGAGGCTCAAAAATTCATATTCCTAGAAAAGGAGCATGAATCCTTTTAAAACTTTTCTCAAGATCCTCCACAAGAGGTTAACAACTTGCTTCCTTTTTTTCTAAATGTATTCATTTGTTAGCTACCTAACAATAATCTGAACTGATGACTGAAGTACTACCATCTATGACAACACAAAGCTAAATGTGTTCTTTTCAGGACCAAAGAGAACCAGAAAGAACATCAGAAGAGCTGTATGCATCAGCACTGTGAAACACAGTGCTAATAAACACGGAATCACAGAATCATTTAGGTTGGAATGGAGTAATGTAGGTAGAAGAGGGCAAAATTAAGTGACTTCCAGGCTTAAAACTGTCAACTCAAGAAGCAAACATAGCCATCTGCCCAGCTGATTAAGCAGAAATACTGCTCTGTGTTCTCAGCTATACAGACATCGAACAACTTGTCAGGCTAAAGAAGAATAGGATAATAAATAGTACATTGAATACACCATTTACAAACCTGTGAGGCATCATCATCTAAACCTCTGTCAGTAGTATAACTACTGTCTCAAAAGAGATATTTAAGAATTTCAAAGAGCTCAGAGACAGGAATCAATTAAGGTCTCAAAAATTATCTTGTGAAGCAATATAGAAAAGACTAGAATTTCAGACAGGCATGAGATCTGACAGTCAATGACAAATGGTAAGCACAGGTAAATAAAGAACAGGTAAGTAACTAGAAACTTAAGAAAAAATTACTTCATTACAAACATGGTACCAAAAATGTATATTTAATTCATAAGCTAAATGTGAAAGAAATGCCTGATCACCCTACATGTGATCATATTCTGGAACTTACTGGCAGTCATGCAGCATTTTTACATATAGCTTTCCACATTCACAATGCATTACGCAAAGTTACATCTGTGACACTCATATCTGTGAGTGCAGTTCAGGACTTTGTTGATTGTTCTGTGCAACAGATGACAAAGAATGGGACGGTGGAATCCGAAGAAGCCAATACGCTGACGCTGGATGACATTTCTGATGACGACATTGATCTGGACAACACTGAGGTAGATGAGTACTTCTTTCTCCAGCCTCTGCCGACAAAGAAGCGCAGGGCGCTGCTGCGAGCGTCCGGGGTGAAGAAGATTGACGTGGAAGAGAAACACGAGCTGCGAGCCATCCGCCTGTCCAGAGAGGATTGTGGCTGTGACTGCCGTGTCTTCTGTGACCCAGAAACCTGCACTTGCAGTCTGGCAGGCATAAAATGTCAGGTAAATGTCTATGTTATTGCCAGTTTAATTATCTGGGGAGGGGGGTGTGTCCACGCACACGGGTGTACTTTTTGTTGTTGAAGTTATAACCATTGGAAATCAAGTATTAGTAACACTTGCGGATCTCAAACCAGTTTTTTTAGGCCCCGATTTAAGAGTATATAGTGGGCAATCAATACAAACAATCTCCTAAAATATCTTTCTTTATTTTATGATTGGTTTAGGGTGTTTTTTTGTTCTTATACAAGTGTTCTGCTCCTTGTACTCTTCTTTAGCCTTTACCTAAACAGGCAGATGCAGATAACAGAAGAGTCAGTAGCCTGCCGATTTCAGAACGGATATTATCTTTGCTTTTAGAGACAATTAACATACACTCCAAATGTGAATTATAGTCCAAACTCAATGAGAAACAATAAATGACACTCTGTGGTACTGTCCTTTATGTAACATGCATGATACTTAAAATCTATGCATGATAAATTTGCATGTAGGCAATAAAAATATGTATCTGCTAATATAGCAGTTTTTTCCTCTGCAGACTGAAGAGGTATTTCGTATTGTACATTTACATAGTTGTCAGCTGTACATGTCCCAAAATATTCCCTAAAAGAGGTTTCTACTAGTTTCTGCTGAGTTGCCGTTGTGCAGCTGAGTTTTCCTCCTGAATGCATTTTTCATTATCTCGTAAATCCAAGCTAAACTTTCTCTACTATTTTAAATAATATATTCTCCTTGCTGTTCCTGTTTTCATCTCCACATGTGGGGAACATGTACTAGATTATGTTATAGGGTACTTCTCTGCATCATATCTGATGTTTAGATATTACAGTGTAGATGAAAGTCACAGACCTTCAACTGTTTAATGGAACTGGCTGACATGGGGATTCAGGCACATTTTTAAAAACTTAATATGAGCATTTTTAGATGTAGAAGTTCTGTGCACAGTCTGTTGAGCTTACAATATTGCCCCTACAATAGAGTGGGATACCTTTTAAAGTGCACTTGAGGTTTTATTCCTATTTTCCGTGGTCAGGTGTCCCCATTGGCAACTTTATATAGGTTTCTATATATAATTAATTTTGTTTCAATAGGTGTCTAGTTTCCATAGCTTTTACCAATTTTTACCAAATTTGAAGATACTTTCTGGTAATGATTTTGCCTGGATTTGAGCACAAAGTGAAGTATTTTTGTATCCATAAATACAAAAACTACCTATTTTTTGTTCCACTGTGTAGTACTTTCACCTATGGAACAGAAATGTATTTTTCCTACTGTGCAGCATTGATGCACATACAGGTCCCTTACTGTTCCTCTCAGTACTGCTCAGTTCCAGGGCTGACTCCCTGAATTACTGTTGGCTTTGACTACTCTTACAGGTATTTCTCAAGGTGAATTCCACTTCACCACTTTATTTCTCTAGGCTGTCTAGATTCTGTCATATCTCCAGGCTTATGCTACGTATTGTTAATCTGTATTCTTTTCTTTAAAAGGTGGATCGTATGTCTTTCCCATGCGGTTGCACTAAGGAAGGGTGTAGCAATACCGCAGGTAGAATCGAATTTAACCCTATCCGTGTACGGACTCACTTTTTGCACACAATAATGAAACTTGAATTGGAGAAAAATAGAGAGCAGCAAGTTCCAGCACTTAATGGCTGCCACACTGAGATAAGTGCACACACTAGTTCTATGAGTCCAGGACCCCACCCGGTTGAATATTCAATTGCAGAAAATTTTGAGATTGAAACTGAACCTCCGGCTGCAGTTATGCATTCCCAGTCAGCCGAGGACTTGGACTGCCCAGGGGAAGAGGAGGAAGAGGAAGATGGGAGTAGCTTTTGTAGTGGAGTTACAGATTCTAGCACACAGAGTTTAGCCCCTAGTGAATCAGATGATGATGAAGAGGAAGAGGAAGATGAGGAGGAAGATGAGGAGGAAGAAAAAGCAGATGATTTTGTAGAAAGCATGGGCTCCCATGCTGATATGGTGCCTCTTCCTTCTGTCCTTTGCTACTCTGATGGAACTGCTGTGCATGAAAACCACTCTAAAAATGCCTCATACTATACTAACTCTTCAACTCTGTATTACCAAATAGAGAACCACGTTGCTGGCACTGCTAACCAGATCGGTGAGACTTACTCAGAAAGGGATGCTGTCAAGAACGGTAGTCTTTCTCTGGTGCCTTACAACATGACTTCTGAACAGTTTGTTGACTACACACGGCAATCAGAGGAAACTTTTAGCAGCCCTCATTACCCTTCTGCAAACCCCTCAGTGATTGTTTGCTGCTCATCTTCTGAAGGAGATGGCAGTGCTCCATGTAACAGTTTATACACTGAGCATAGGCCAAGTCACCCGCAAGTGGAATTTCACTCCTACTTGAAAGGTCCTTCTCCAGATGGCTTTGTGTCAGCTTTGAACGGCGACAGCCACGTGCAAGAGCACCCTGCTGAGAATTCACTAAACCTCCCAGAAAAGAGCAGACTGCACGAGGAGTGCATCAAATCTCCAGTGGTAGAAACGGTACCTGTTTAATATTAAAATTATTCTAGGACTGACTTCCTATATTAAAATTCACTCCCATCGGATTTTCCTAGAATCTTACTTTTTTAAGAGGTAGACAACACTTGGACTGTAATCAATGTTCCAGACACATTGTGTTTTCTCAAGCTACACTGGCAGTGGTATTGCACAAAAACAGTTCACATAAAGATTTAAATAAAAATAATCAAACTTTTTTTGATAAAAATAAAACAAGTAAGTAAAAAAACACAGCCAACCTATTTCAAAGTAGCCTACCTATGGACATGTGTGAAACCTGCCAAGCTATCTGAATCAAAGCTTTGTGTTTTTGACTGTCGGGCCTGTGCAAAAATGTTAAAAATGATACTTTGAAATAATCATGTTTAGAGTCCTAATTTTCAACGTATCTGAAAAGATAGTAAGTTTAACGTAAAAGTAACTACTGTACAAAAAAAGTTTTAATTGTTCTGTACTGTATGTATTTTATTTATGGTAGTTTACAATTCATGTTTTGAAAAAAATGAACAGCATGTTCATTTGAGCAGAAGATCCATAGCTAGTTACAAAGAGCATATCCACTTTTCATCTGGAGTACCTTGTATTCTTCTTTTTTTTTTTTTTTAATACCATTTCTGGTAAATTGTCTTGAAACACATTTTTAGAGTGTGCTGTTTTCTCTTTTACTGTTCTTGACAAACAGAATAGTCAGAAAGGGGGCATTTACATCTTCTAGAAAGGTAGACAATCCTCCATTAAAACTAAAATCAGTGGCATTCCAGAACTAGTACCCTCACCCCAAAGAAAAAGGATCTTGTATATAATGGCAAAGCAGTAGCTTAAGCTTGCACAGCACCTTTTAGCCCAACAACCATTCAGATACTTTGCACTTTAGTGCTGTTTTGCAGGACTATATTAACTGTGGGAACTGTGAACCACTCTGGAGAAATGCCATAGCCCCACTCTCTGAGGCGTTTCTAAGATCTTAAAATTCATTGTAACAAAACCTGGATGTTTTTCCCAAGCCAGTTTATGAATATGTCAGTATGCAATTTATAAAAGCAGAGCCTTATTGATCAAAGCTTAAATAAAGCATGGGAAAAATGCAGAACTGTCTAGATTGCCTAAACATTTAACAGTTTTTATGAAATATGAGACTGGCTTTTGTGGACTTCTGATTGTACCTCAAATGTAGCATCATTTGGTCTAAATAGGAAACAGCAGATTCAGTGAGGAAAAAAACTTCAGAAATTTTGTAGCTGCAAAAGTCTGCAAGGAAAATAGCATGTGCGTCATATGGATATCCATTACCTTGTGATCCATTTGTTTTTAAATGAAGTGGGAATTAAAAGTACCTGCTGTATATCAACCTTTAATTTATTAACCAACCTTGCTCTTGTCTAGAAAAGGAGGCATAGGAACCAGGTTTTCGCTGCACTGGAAATTCTGCACTGCCTTATTTTGATTTCAAAATCTATTTTAGCATTTTTATTCTTCTAATACTGAAATTTTATTTATTCTACGTCAAGTAAGTTGAAATGTAGACCTGTCTTGTTTGTCAAAATAAGAATCAGCATCTTAGTTTTATCTGTGTCAAATCTAGATGGTTAACAGTGTGCATGTAAACACAGTGTAAATTTTAGCTCTGTAACAATGACTCTTCTGGTTAGAAGCTCTTTAAAACATCACGTACAGTACTCCAGTAGAAAAACTGCCAGGTGTAAAATGGGCTTTTCATTGAAAAAAAAAGATAACTTAATTGTTTTTATATGAAATCTGGGCAAAATGACTTCTCATATTTATGCTAAATTAGCAAAATATTTTTACTCCATGTAGTAGCTGGAAAGGTTTTTTATTTACTTGTTTCCACAAGAAGTCCTACACAGTTTATATGAACTGCATTGAAAAGTCTAGTTCTCTAGGGACTGGATTCCAAACTTGCAGCGTATTCCACCTCCTGAGAAAGCACATTCATGTTCATTATCTGGCTCAGCAATTCCATAGCTGCTGTTCCTCCTGTAGTCACAGAACACTGTAGTCTCTTTCTCTAAGGTTGAGTAGCCAGGTAAACACCCATATTCTGCAACACAAATATCCTTGAGTTTTAAAGAGAAACGTGCTGGTTCTTAAAGTTCTGCATCTGAGAATAATATTATTCTGTTCAGGATCTTCTAAGGGCAAATGTAATAAGTCTCTGTGTATACAGGCATCTTGCATCAACAGCGAGTTAAATTTGGCACTCTCACTTAACACCAGCACCAAAAGCACAAATCTCTTCTGCTTGAGCTGGGACAGTAGATGAGGATCAGGAGCAGCTCTTTACCCTCAGAGTGTGTTGGAGAACCACACACACTTTACTGGGGTATTTATCTCAGGGGAAAGTTAAATGAAATCTTTTGTTTTATTATTCACCCCCTTACTGAGCAATAAGAAATTATTTTCCTGGCCCCTGTGCTTTCACCTGAAAAATATCTTTAATTTTATCAGCAAGCACAGTAAGTGATTAACTTCATAAAATATGTCATCCAGTTTTTAAATACTGAGGTGGTGGTTATTTACTATTTCCATTCTCACAGGCTTCAGATCCCAGTCCTGGTTAATATCAGCACCTGTATAAACTTCGGAGTACTGAGATGTGTGTGTTCCATGCCATTGGGGCATCAGGGGTGAATGCAGCCAAATTCTCTCAAGCCTGCAGCACAGGATAACAAGCAGTTACATCTTGGAAGAGATGTATTTTTTAAAAATAGGCCAAACCTTTTGCCCAGCCAATTCCATGCCAGCAAATAACAAAGCTAAGGCCTTTTCTAGCATGTGTAAGTTAACTAGAGTGACAAAAAAAATAGTTGCAGCCCTGACCAAATGGGACGGTTAATTTAACTGACAGGTGGGCTAATTTACCTGAAAAAAGAGTAGGATGTAGAAATCAGGTGAGTCAGGTTTCCCACCACTTGATTAGACTTCGATGTTTTGTTTAGAACAAAAAACATACTCTTCATTTAAGGAAAAACAAGCTTAAATAAATCATAGTATGGAAAATATTTTAATGTTATTTTCTGGGCTAGTATATAATAATGCATGCTGTGTCCCATTTCTCAACTGGCTAATAGTCATTTTGATAACCAGTCCTTTCATTTTGGGTAGGCTGTTTCTGTGTGATAAAAGTATTATTATATTACTAAATGATAACCAGCAGTATTTGCTTCTGTCAACACAGTGTATCATTTGAGGAAATGTTTACTTTACTGATAGTTGTATCAGCTTTATTTTGCAAGATATCTGGCTAGTGATAAACACTCCTAAGGAACCAGGTAATCATTTATGATTATATTGCATAGTTCAGGAAAATGGATCATAACATAAGCATTTCCCTCTATTGAAATAAACTAGAATTTTCATACAGAAGATAACTGAACCAGCACCTAAAACCAGATGCCTTTTTGCCTATAAGGTGAACTTCGCCTTTCTTGGAAAAAAGTGCATTGTTAAATATATGCAAAGCTTTAACTGATGTTAGACATGAAATTAGAACTTTTCTGCACGGTTAATTACAGCAAATGCAATTGCTTTCTAAGAGCTATAACTCATGCCCACTGAACATCCTTAAAAAGTTAAAAGCTGGTCAGTAAAACTTTCTACTATTCTTTATTGAGTTGTCTGCCATTTAGATCAGAAAGTTCTAGATTTGTAAAGTTTTACTATTTTTCATTTGCACAAGCTCCTGCTAATGAATCATAGTTGGAGTTGACATTAATTTATTTTAAGTCCATTGTACACGGCCATAGATACAGTTCAGCCTGATCAGTGCTCTGGTAACAGAGCGATCCTGTCTTTTGTGGAAGTGCTGCAGAAATCCCGTGTAGTGTTGGTGGTGCTGTTACTGATTGCTGACTGATCCAGAGCCACTTTCAAACCGTACCTGCGTGTTTTATGTCAGTAAATGTGATAACATGGCGCTTTCCCTGCCTCACAGGGAGTATCTTCACAAACACAGCTAGTTTTTTAAAGATTGTATACATATATTTGTATGCAAAACAGAACATATATTATGTTTTTTAATATTTCAGGTGTTCCTGACTCTCTGATAGAAATGTGATATACTAGATAGAGAGTACTGGGCTCAGAGAGAGGAGACCTGGGTTCTGTTGCCTTTGCCTTTGTCTTATTGTGTCACTTGCATCCTCTGTGCTCTGGTTTGTAATGTACTTGGAGATATTGTGATAAAACATAATTCTTTAAAACAGGCAAAATACCATTTTATTCCTCTTTTTTTTGGTATCATAACTAAATTTTTGTACTGCAGACTACACCACTTTCCAAATAAAGCCCAGTCCAGAACTGAACAGAAATTTTTCACTAATGTGAAGCACAGCTAAAGCAAGCTCTCCTTTCCTTAGACGGGATTAATGAGCAGAAGTTTAACAGTAAATTGCACAGTGAAAAATTAGAATAAAAGCTGTATTGCATATACAACATTTACCTGTCAAGTGCTTAACATTTGAGCAGCAAGATTGTAGTTTGCCTGCAACACCACACTTGGAAGCAGCAGGCAGTCTTACTCCCCTGTACAGTGTCTTCTTTTGCTGGCTGAATTCTGTCCATTGGAACTCCTTGCCTGGACTGCTCCTGGAGCAAAGCAGCTGCCCTTACTCAAACGTAAAGCAAGAGAGACCCATTATATCCTTTTAAAAGGCATTTGCTAAATAAGGATCTCCATTGTTACAGCTCATGAGTTGTATAAACTCGTGTTCATTGTGCCAGTTGTTTTATTTCCTGAAACAGTCAGGAACAGGGACAGAAGAGGATGATATGGAAAATCCTCAAGCATTCCTGCTGAGACTGAAGAGTAATTCTATCATCTACTTTATTATGGTTGCAGAACATTTGATGTAAAATACTTTGAAAAACTAGAAGTAACTCAGAGAATATATTCTATAGAATTTATTTCTAAAATATTAAATCTGATTACTATTTTTTTAAAATGGTAGAAAACTGTTATTTTCAAAACAGACTTACATGTTCTGTGGTATGAGAAATCTCAGCATTTGCCTTTTCAGTGTTTCCAGGTTTTTCTAATATTCTTAATTTTGCTATTCTCTGTAATCATTGTCCACGTGCAAATTATTAATTGTCCATTTTCTCCAAGAAATGTCAAATCCAAAGCGCAAACATTGTGATGAACAAGTGCAATTTAGTTTTAAAGATGTCCGAATGAACACACACTTGGGTTCTTCACAGGTTTTTCCTTTTCACTGTCTCTTCCTACTCCTAAATCCAAGGCAGCTTCTAATGTTGTTACTAATAAATGTGCCAGAGTATTGTTTCCACTTAAGGAGGAAAGTTATAACAACCTTGAGGACTTTTCTGTTACTCTAATGGCTGATACCAAGAATTTTACTTTTTATATGGAACATCCAATTCATGAAACGTGTTGTGCAGCATAAGTGTTCTTTTTTAATGCCTTCCTTCCTGTCAGTGTTTGGGAGGTCTGTTGTACAGTAAGACTTTTCATTACAGTTGAGCAAAAGGGCAACTCCTGTGTCCTCTGTGCTGTGAATTAGATCTTGAAAAGCCAGGTTGGATGGGGCTTTCAACAACTGGATCTAGACATCTCTGCCCATGGCAGGGGGGTTGGCATTAGAAGATCTTTAAGGTCCATTCCAGAGGAGGCCATTCTGTGATTCTGTGAGTTAAAATGTGTGTTGCTCTGGTGCTATGCAGTCTTTGTGGTTGGAGGACACCCAGAACTCAGGAGGTCCCACTGCCTGGAGAACCACAGTCCTGATGCTCTGTACTGCAGCTTCTCAACTGAGAGGGTGATAGTCTTCATCCAAGGCTGGGGGTGGGACAAAAAAGTTAAAGGGCAAACTTTGTCCTTTATTTACTCAGTTATCTTAATTTGGATCTTAGCAATGACACTTCTGTTTCATGAATGAATGTCCAGTAGAACCAAGTTGAAGTTTGCCTCTCATGTGCATTCTTCTCTAACTGATCACTTTTCCAATAAACCATGAAGATGGGATTGGCTTTTCATGATAGACAGGAAAATGGAGGAGGATACAAATGCACATCATTGTTCTAACACAAGAATCAAGGTACGCCTTGGTCTTGAAGCACTAGAGTGAGGGGAGGATAGAAAGAACAGTTTAGAGGAAAAGATGAAGGCAAGAGGCAGATTGATGAAGATTATCTTTCTTCTAAAGGGCAAACCAAAACATTACATATTAAAAAAAAAAAGGAAGGAAAATGGGAAATTAAGATCTCTCCAGAACAAGGATGGAAAAGTATATGGATGTTCAACTACAAGCTTGCCCATGTTAGATGATAATATTGATTCTGTTACTTAAAATACTTTAAACCAAACGAACTCAGTGCAAACAGGAAATGCCATTTTTCCAGACCAGTTACATACAGGTGGCCATTAAATAAAAGACTTATCCAAATGCATGGGGTAAAAACTAAAAAGCAAAGCCACACCTAGAAGCACTGCTACCATGTCCTTTCTTTGCCTATGGCAATTACAAAGTCATTTTCAGTATCATTTCTGTTAACTCTGCTCCCAAGCACATATTCTCATATAACCAGTTTCTCAGATAACAAGAGACGTTAAAAGCAAAGACAAAATAGGTGTTCTTTTTATTAGCATTTTAGTTTGGGATTTTCAAATGAGACTTAGTACACATTATAGCACATTATAGCATTTTAGGTTTCTCCATCTGGAACTTTTAAAGTACGTTCTTGAAGTTTTGGGTTTTGCTGGGGTACCAGGGGATCAGTACAGATACAGATTTAGCACCAGTTTTCAGCTTCTTGAAAAGATCATCCTGTGCAGTGGCAGCTGGTTCTCTTAAAACCCAAAGCAAACATGCTGGTTTTTTCCCAGCCATTTCACACAAGTACCATCAACTGCTCATGTAAACAGTGCTTAACAACTGGGCCCTTCTTTTAATTGACTGACTGTAGGCGCTTCTATGGAAATACGTCTGAAGTGTAGTTTGTGAAACATGTTAAAAATTGTTTGATGTAAAATAAGCACTAGACATTTAACAGTGCAAAAATAGACAAAATCTGTAGATTACAAATCCATTCCTAAGAGCCTCAGCCTGTAATATTGTCTTAGTAAAGTTGATCTTTTAAGTTAAATTGCATTCTGATGTAATTACCTTTTACAAATAAAATTATTAATACAAATGTACTGGTTAATACCTGTTAACATAAAACATGGCTAATTGGTTATTTTGATTTGTTTCCATCTATAGCAAATAAATAGAAAATTTGTAAAAAAAAACCAAACAAACAAAACCCAACACTTATTACTTTTTATATGTTTAAAGTATTTTCATTGTTTTAACAAATACAGACTATGTAACATTTACACTGTCTAGTCCAACCCTGTCTTTCAGGAGGTTCATCTCTCTCTGTGTATATATATATATATATATATATATTTCCCCATAAGAATATAAAATTGCTTTTGAAATTTTTGTTGGCAAGTGGTAAATAATACACCGCAGCGTAGACTCAAAAGCACTTAAGCTGATGGTCTTTCAGACAGGTAATCCACTCAAATGGGACTAGTAAAACTGTGGTGTAATTGCAGCCATTTCTTTAAACTTTGTACATTACTTCTAACTTTACTAATTTCTGAGAAAAATAATTATGTTAAGTACTTAACATTTTCCATTACAGATTATCTTGTATACTAAAATAATGGAGATCTCAACAGTAAAGCAAAATATTTAATTGGACTGCTGCTTTTAAACTGTTTGAAGAAGCGAAGGGAAAGAAAGTTCATCTTAAAATCTGTACATGGAAATAATTTTAAGCTTCATGAACTACACATTTCCTTAATTTCCTTTTTTTAAACAAGTTGTAACATCAAAGATGCCAAAGGGTAATATAAGCTACAATAATATTCAACAGAACTTAACCTAGACCTTACGCTGTAATAATTTATTCAAATTAACTGTATTCTTCTGTATTTATATTTTCAGTATTTATTATGAATGATATGGAATTTGATGTATTTATTGTGGCTTATTACTGCAGTGTATATATTACAAAAATGAGCATTTTTAAGTCTTAACATTAGTTTTTTTTGTTAATTAGTGGCACTTGTATCAGCTGTATTTTTATTATATATTGTACAATATATATTGTCCATTTGTTTGCAATGAAGTAAAACAGGTTTCTACGTTACATCATGGCTGCCAGTGAATGTGCTTCTTATTTCTACTGTGCACTCACAAGAGATTCCTCTCTCAACTAAGAGAACCAGAATTAATTCTGCAGCTCCTACCCAAGACCTCTAGAACCTCCAAAGACACTCTGAAATTTCAGGCATTTCTCCCGTTCCTCATAGTCTGACAACATAAACAGCTTGTGTGGAGGGGTTTTTTTGGTGTCTGTTTTTATTTTCAAATATTTGTATGCCAATTAAAGAAATAAACAGAAATGCCTTGTTAGGTATATCCATCTGCCCTTTCATGATACTACTGCCTACACTTTTCTTTGGCCAGTGAAATAAAGTACCTGATTCACCTGTGCCTATCATGGTGAATTTCATATTTTTTATTATAAGGTAATGAAGCAATTGTTGGAATAAAATTTTGCACCAGCTCTCCCTGGTGGACAATTTGCAGTAACGTTATACAGCAAATAATTTCAATGGCTATAAATCAAACTGCTACATTTCAGGACAACTGCTTATTTTGAAAACTGCCAATCAACACTGCTTCATTAAGAAAATAATTAAGAATCACAGTATCTGCCATATTTTCATTCTGATATTTATTAAAATTGAGCTGTACATTTCTAAAAGTTGTCCCTAAGTGTGCTTTAATAATAAATTGCATATACCTAAATTAGTTACAAAAACTGATAAAGATCAGGTGTTCTCTAGATTATAAAAAAAGTTTTCACAGGATTTAGGGTATTATTTGTTTCTAGTTAGGAGTTACACAAAATGAAATAGATTAACGTCTGCTATCACACTGCCTTTGGCATTGCCTTGAACTATGGTTAACAGGGCTGCTCCAGGGCTTGCTAAGCCACATTGACATAAAAAATGTTGTAAAACAGTTTTCAACACTGGTGTTCTAATTCAAGATACCAGGATGCCAGTTCAGAAGTAAGAAGATTTAACACTAAGGTTCACTTGTAAGTTATCTATTAATAGTACTCACATTATTCTATACTCACCCTAGAGAAAACCAGCAGTTATTGCCAAGGGTGATAAAACAAAGTCCTCAGGTGTGGTGAATTCACACTGCAGTGAACGGTGTCGTAACCAGGCAGAGCCACAACCAAGGGCGGACCTCTTGTTCGCAGGCAGGAGCTGCCCAGAGCCACAGGCCCTGAAGTCCCAAAATGTTTAGGACCCGCTTTGTCCTGCTGGGAGTGGAGCTGAGATGTCCTTGCCTGAAATCAAGCCTTCTTCAGCACTTGAGATTACCTCCCTGGATGTGTAAGAGAGCATGGTGAGATGCAGGTTAACACTTATGCCTGCTGTTGTAGTGTATGCCTTCAAGTTTACACAGCTATTTGATTGATGTATGAATTTTTACATGCTGTATATATAATAGTATTTGTCTTTTTCCCCTTCATGGGGGCCAAGAACAGCATAATACCATTACTGAAAGTGCTTTAAATTAGAAAAAGAAAAAAAAAAAAAAGAAGAAGAGCCAGAGAACCTCCCTGCAATAAACTGATTTTCTGAATGCCACTTTCAGTAGAACATTAACAACATCCAGAAGATGATGCTGCTTTTTTATTAAATTACAAAAAAAAATCAGAATCCAACTTTTTAAATCTCCAGTCGTATTTACAGATGTCCTATTGCTCTTCTACTATGATGTCTACATATATACACACACTCTCTCTCTCTCATGTATGTATGAATATTTGGAAGTGCAATATTCAGTGTAGACACAGAAGTTAATTTCAGATCTTCAAACAGAATAGAACAAAAACCTCATTTAAAGTTTTAGATCTGCTTCCCTCTTTTCTGGCAGGTAGTAGGGAATCCAAGTAAGGCTGAACTGCTGCTGTACTAAGTACTGCAAAAATACAGACTAAAATGTCACTCATAGTTTAAAGGATACCAGAAATCTCAAAAAATGAAAGGAAAATCTTAAAAGATAATTTTTAAATCACAGAATTAATTTTCCCCTTTCACACTTAGAACTAAAGACAAAATATAATAACTAGGTGAAATGTTATACCTAATCTTTGCAGAAAACAGAGTAACAACTGCATATATTGCTCTATCTGCTATGATATGAGCTTAGATTACCAGTTAGAAAAACAAAAAATACAAAGTGGAGCTTCTCTAGCATTGCTCATGAAGAGGTTCCTCCCTCCGAGTGCAAGAGAACACTTGTCTCCTTAAAATTCAAATTCTACCCTCATTTGGAACATTACCTCTTAAAACCACAAAAACCCAACTGGTAATGAGTGGATAAATGATATTAACATATGCATATTCCAGTCTGACAAGTTTCTAAGAAATACAGATTGCATGAAAAAATTATCCTTTGGTGATATTAAAAATAATATGCATTTTTTTGTATAACATGAGAACTAAGAACTAAAAGAACAAGTCCTTTTAAACCACTGTGCTAAATACCTTGTCTTCTAGAACACGTTCCTTGAACACTGAGTTCCCATTTCATAACTGGGGTTCAACACAACACAGCTGCTCTCTGTGTAATCTCCCATCCTCTATTCATATTGTTCAACAATTTTCTTATTGACCTGCATTCTATTTTTCCTCAGCTCCTCCAGTTTGTCAAGAGCATTTGTTGCCCTTCCAATATTGGTTTGATCTGCAAAAGTAATACTTTGTATTCCATTACCAAATTAAAACATTTATCAGAGGACACAGGCAGTGCTGTTCTACACAACCTTCCAGTTTCACAGTGGTATTAATAACCCTTCCCAGTACAGGCTTTTTATCAATATCTGTTCACAGTTATTTTAAGTTGTACAGCTTTAACTTCACAGGATGTTCTCACAAGTGTCACCAAAAGCCCTACAGAAGCCAAGACACAACGTAAAGGCATTATCAAGCCAGAAAAATAAATTAGTTTAAGATAATGCTTCCAACAAATTATCACTGGTTCTTGCTTATTCACTTTTTTGTCCTTTTAGATGACTTAGAATGACTGAAAGGATTTCTTCTTGCTTTTATTCAGAAACTGAACTCATTCTGCAGATACCATTAAATTATCCAGACTCCCTCCTCCCCCCATTAGAAGTAAAAAACCCTACATACCATCATTCATCCACCCACCAGACCCAATACCTAAAACAGCATTTATCTGTAATGATATTATTTAGGAAAAAAGAACAAGGTTATTATTAATGTATTTTGTTCTGTTCAATCTTTTAATACCCACCCCTTCAAATTTATTCTCAGCTTTATATTTGATCACGCAGCTAAATATTTTTGTCTTCACCTTAAATTTCTTTAAAAATAGATTACATATTTGAGTATGCTGTATCATTTTCTATAGTTAGCAGAATATTTAGAAAGGCCAAGGTCTCACTTGGACTGATAAAACTGAGGTCAGTCATTTGTAAAAGAGGAAACAGAAACAAGAAAAAAAAACCACGCAAGTGTTCACACAAGAGATCACGTACAGATCACATTAGAGGTTTCATGTGAAGTAAACATGGCATAAATCACTAAAAGGTAGGGGAGAAAAGTGAGTTTAGTAGATAACAAGTAATTTAAAAGTAATAATGAGAAAAATGCTGAAAAAATGTGTAAATGTTAAGAGGTTGGGAATCTATTACAGTATAACTGTCATAAATTTTAAAGTTCATGAAATATAAAAAAACCTACATAGAAGAAGTTTTAGCTAAACAAAAGATTAGTATCGGGATAAGCAGATTTTCTATTAGAATAATCATAAATACGTATTTCAGTGATAATTACTTTTTTCTTCTACCAAAGGACTGACTTGCTAGAAGCTGAGCATAGTATGGTAGCCTATTTAGCTTTTAACTGACAGTCAAATATTTAATTTTTCAAGTGAAGAAACTTAAAAAATATTGAGAAAGTGTCACTGAATAAAGTAAATTATTAAAAAAAATGTCCACCAATTGAGCATAAAAATATAGTGTATTGGGTTTTAGACAGCAGACAATAATTTCTCACAACCCTACAAAGAAAATTAGTCTTCTTCAGAAGCACTTACAATATGTGAAAAAACAATACACATATGGCCCCCAAGGTGAAAGAGGACTAATAGGATCCATAAATCAGTGGTCAACATATAAAGTCTCATCACAGAAATATTGTAAACAAAATATAATCAGGGTCTCAATTATCTTTGGTATAGCGGAGTCCTAGGGAATCTCTGATGACACATTTTATATCCAACTTAGGAGGGAAAAGAAACATTTTGCATTGAAAGTATCACTTAAAATGCAGTATGAGTATATAATAATCACAGTTCAGAATGGATCTTCTTTTGTAATAAAATGCTTCTGGCCTATAAATATGAAATCTTAATTGTTCTGGCCAAAGATCCACTTCTGGAAGGGGTCTGATGGATTACAGGATGCCAAACTTGGATGCTCTCCGTTTCCTGTAAGGCACATATGTAGTGCTGCATTGTACAGAGTTTGATCCTAAAGTGAGGAAAAAAGGAGGGAAAAAAAAGTGAGCAAACAATGAACATGCTATTTCCCCCACTGTTTTTCCCCCAGGTCATACAGATAGGGCATACAGATATTTAGCAAATAAATAAAAGTAGTATACAAGTGCCAACTTGTTTTGTTAGGAAAATTTTAAGAAATATTTTCAAAGATACAAAGCATCTGAATTGGCTTCCAGGTGGATGTCCAGACATACACACTAAAGGATATAAATGGGGTTTTTAAGTGACACTCCTACAAGTGAAATCGAGTTTTGATCTGGTAACTGAAAAGCTGAAATTACCTAAATTTTCCTGCCCAAACTAAACTTACTCTTTTTTGGCTTCTGAGTTTAGTTTTGTTGGCATTTTCACTTTTACTGGAAATCTAAAATTAAGTAATATAAAAGATCGCTGACAGAAATGCCAATTCACAGCCCATACCTTTTGGTGCAGCCATTGCTCCTCTCCAACAGCAAAGGTTTTCTGGCCTTTGTAGCTGCACTCTCGAAGCTGCACAGGTCCCTTAGAAGCACGTAGACAAAGCTCCTTCTGGATGTTATGTCGAATTTCATGGTGTGCAGAATATTCAAAGTACTATTTAAATAATTTTTAAAAAATTCAGTAAATAAAAACAAACAAAAGTATTAAAGTCTTTGAAATTCCCATATACAAAGTAATAAATGTCCTTTCTTATTCGAAAATTTGAGACTACAGAATAATTTCTGGTTTTTAGCATACACACTTTAAAAGTGTTTACAAAACTGAAAGCATTTTTTAATACTAATGCAATGCTTATTTATATTTACATGCATAAATTGCAAATGGCACTATCTGCATATGTATTATGATGCAATATCTCATTGTGTGCTCCCACACAGACTATATATAATTCAAGGGGGCAAACCAAAGACTAGAGATAGTTGCACAGATAAATTTTGGTATTTCTTAACTTTAAAAATCTGTATTCAATTCTGTTGCTGGATTTTGTTTTTTCTTAAAGAAAAAAAAAGTCACATGGAACAATACTTATTGCTGTATGCCAACTTTTTCTGCTTGATCCAAACAATAAATGTCAACAATAGGATGCTGTTATGTTCTCTTGTGAGCTAGCCATTAGAAAAGTAATATAAGCATGTATTTTGTGAGTTAATTTTACCATGATTCGCTGACAGCACAATACTGTTAAGGCTCAGGAATTCTAGGCTATAATTCTGGTCTTAACAGGGATTTACTTCTAACAGTTAAGAGACACTGCTGTCCTTTTATCCCTCTAAGCCCTACCCTAACATCCTGGTCTCTTCCTTTTCTCCCTCATTAAACAGCAGAGTTCCTCTCATTACATCCCACTACCACACAGTTTCTTGGCTCCATATGTCAGCCGCCTTCACTGTATCTTTCCTTTGACTATTCAGACCAGGCTCAGTTACTCCCTTGTGGCTTTCAACCATCTGTCCAATTGGTCAGCAATCACCTCCTCACTGGAATCAATGGAAACAGCACTGAGGAACAAACAGGCATCTCCCTCTTAAGACTCTGTGACCAACATTAATCCTTGAAATAGGTGCTGATAGGAGTGACCTGCTTAGTCACTCAGCTCTCAGACATAATAATTTACTCTTAATCTGGTAATCTGACTTAATCTGTCCTGATTTATCTTTTGAACTTCAAAGTCTCTTCACACACTGAAAATATTACTTGAAAGCTAGGTTTAAAACTTCATTAATTTTGGATATTGAGATTGGCATGTTCCCAGTCCCAGAATATTCTAAAAAGGAAGAATAATATACAACTAATGTACAACTCTGACAATTAGGTTCTCTCTTCCACTCCCTTCTGCCATCTCAAATATATGGACAAAGATGACAGGTAGCATGGAAAATATCAGCCTACACTGATAAAAGTCTGGTAAACGATAGAAAACAACTGAAAACAGAGCATTGTAATGAGAGGGATTATGTAAGCAAATATGCATCCCTTGAGCATTACCAGCAAAACCAATATTAAGGTTCTCTGAAGGCTGACATTTAAAGGGCTTCAGACTGTTATTTTATGGCAGAAGGAAAAACAAAAAACATGACACTTGAAAGTATAGAGTTTAAGTACAGTCCAAGATAACTTAGAGAGAGAACAACAGAAGCATACAGCAGATCTTTTAATACAATGTCTTGGTACAGCGTTCCTGAATTACTAACTGTGACAGTGTGAAAAGGCTCTTATAGTATTAATCCACAACAGAATAAAAAAACAAGTTCAATACTGTAAGAAGCTAACATAACAGGGCAGTTCTTAATCTAGACAGCATTCCATCTCCCACAAAAATGGATTAGGAAAGTATCAACTAACTAGGATTATTTGTCTGAATTTTCATAGTGCCATCAATGGATGGTTTTTAAGGTTGAAAAAAACTTAACCCCCCCCAAAATAACAATTATATTCTAACAAAAATTTTAAAACCTTTGCTGATGTTCAGTTATTAAGGATCTAGAGTTGTTAAATTCTATTGACTCTTAGAGGCAACAGAGAAGTGTGCACTTCTGGGCAGGGAAGATGTTCCTTTTATTGGTATTGCAGTAGTGACTGAAGGATTCAGTATCTGACATCTATTGCAAGTTATATTGTAGAAGGAACAGAAGCACTGCTGCCTCCAAGAGCTGCGCACCAAAGAGAGCTCCTCTTGAACAAATGGGATCATATTATTCACTTGCATTAGCCAGTACAGGATAGGCCACTGTGACCTCACACTGTGAGGCTGCAAGCATGATAGGGAAGGTGGCTCAGGCCTGGACACTTGGTCTCCCATTGGCTGGATTCCAACCAACATCTTCCTTGACACTGCGAGTCCTGGTGACAGAGAAAGAAGCAATAGGAGGAAGCATAAGGAAAGGAAGAATTAAGAAGACAACACTTACAAGACAGGAATAAGGGTAGGATGAAAACGTTTTGCACAGAAAAGACAGGTCAAGTGAAGCAGGGCAACTGTGTTTGAAATCTGAATTTGTATGCTGAACTTAAAACATCAGAAGCGGGACACAACATTAAGAGTGGTATAGAATTTTCCTTTAACAATATATGTAGGAATTAACTATTAAAGAAAAAAAAGGAAAAAAGAGAGATGGGGGAGAGATATTTAATATTTCACTAAAATAAATTAAAAGCTTTTATATGGTAAAGCTACAGAGTAGATCATAAAAATTATGTATCGAATATTTTACCTGATTTCCTCCAAGTCCATGACAAGAATACATAATCAGTGGTTTGCCACCATGGTTATTTTCACCAACATCCAGACACATGCGGTTACCTATATTTTTTAACTAAAGAAAGGGTGTTATCAGGATAAAAAAAGCTCAGTGGGGATGATAAAAAATTAAACTGTCTCATATACAAAGCTAATCTTTAGTTCAACAATTACAGCTGTTAGTTCATTTTTACTTTCTGCTATGCTTGAAACTAAAATCCTGTTCTCTCAGTTAATCTTTTCTAACTAAAAGCCTACCAACTACCTAGTCACATATGGAATTATTAGCCTACTGGTGTACAATGTGTACAATGTTACTGTTATTCAAATTACAGTTTGAGCAGATACACATAAAATATTCAAAACTGGAGGAAGGGGAAGTTTTATTTGTAAATACATGCTAAACATTCATGTTCAAGCTAAGAATTATTACTTCTTTAATACTTCTTTTCAGTTTCAGCAGTGCAATGTCTAAAGTTACTTGGCAGGGAAAATGACTACTGACATGAATAAAAAATGAAAATTACATAGCTATTGACAAAGTATAAAATATTCAAATAGCAAGGTATGCAGAAGAGATTCTTTATCCAGAGTAGTGACAGAAAACCCTAGAGAAGCTAATGATAGCTAAAGTCTAAAAGCTATGGCTAAGATAGCACAAAAGATTAGCAAACTTCCTGGACTATGAAGACTATAGAAAATAATTAAAATTAAACTTACATATCCAGAAAACAAGGGATTCAGGTCTGGCACATATGCTTCTGGATAAACATTACTGAGATACCAGGTAAAATTTTTACACTGCAGACGGTGCCTCAAATCAAGTCTTTTTGAGATGTCTCCAAATGTTTTCTGTTAGAGTTGGGGAAGTAAGGAAGGATGGAAGATAAATATATTAAAATTACTAATATCAATTTTTTACATGTAAAGCTATGATATTCTGTGTTCTAGTATTAAGCAAGTTTTAAGCTTCATTTGTTGATTTTTTTCTTGTTAATGCTGTACATAGTCATGAAAATCTATCACCTGAAGGAAGAAAAATAGCTTCTCGAAGAGAACTTTAGATTCTCGCTGGACAGAAAACTTACAAAGTAAATAAGCCAAAACTCAACCTCCCTTCAAATTAGCTGAAGTTTATAAGCAGACAGAGATAGGATGGTTATCCATCATCGAATAAGCTTTATTCTGCAGCTTAAGGGCAACAAAACCTGCTTTTTAAGTAAAAATACTAACCAACTTGAAACTAATAAGACATTATGTTCCTCACTCCAAAAAATAAGTTAGTTTACATTGTCTATGCTCAGTAGTTTATCTCATGCTCTTCTGCTAGTTCCCATATCTGCTCAATGCAAACAACCCAGGACTTTGGAGAACATATAAAACAACCCACCAATAAAAAAAAACTCGCCATAAAAAACCAACACTATCACCACCCAAACACTTAAGTTTTTTCATGTTTGTTGGGGCTACAGCATTAGGCAACCTGAACTCTGACTTTTCATTAAAATATCTAGGATCCTTACATACTTTGTCAATAAATAACTTTTGCTCACCAAAACTTTCAACGCAGCAAGTGTGATTTCTAATACCACCACCACCACCTACTTGTTTCACAATTTTTGCTGCCTCTGTGTTTCTTCGGTAAAATATTTCTTTATATTCATCCATCCACACTTCTGCAAGGCGAACTTGATTACGTGTGATCACTTGAGTACCTTTTGGGAAAGTGTGGGGACTCTTGCTGCGAAAGACATGGCCAACAACAGAGCAAGGAATGATCTCCAACTGTCCACCACATTGCCATACCTAATAATAACATTTAGTGTGTAAGTACACTGCAATTAGAATTAAGGGGGTGGAAAAAAATTCAGCAATATTATTGTTCACCAGAAAACATCAAACCACTAGTAAGAGTACATGTATCAAGCATTCCGTAAGTGAATTTCCTAATCAGGTAAACCTTGAAAACATACATTTCAGTTATCAACCCTAAACACATTAACAAAAATTAAAATCAGTTCAGTGAGCATGTTTGTATTTTAGTTCAAAGGTAATTAGTAATTCACTTTTCCTAGTTGGCTGATTCAGCAGAGGAGTCAAGATCTAGTACTAATTTGTCCTCAAAACCCCTGTACACTGTCAGCATAGAGACAATTGCTAATTAGGGAGCTAAACTTACTCTGAAAGACATTTCTATATTTTCACCTCCCCATATTTCCATTTCTTCATCGTAGCTTCCGATGTGTTCAAAGTAGTCTTTTGATATTGAAAAGAGACCTCCAGCAAAAGTAGGTGTTCTGCAAAAACAAAATTGAAGGAAGACAGGGTTTTTTAAATATAGATGTAAAATCAGGGTATAACTGTTCTAGGAATTTTCTATGCATTTGTCAGTGTTTCATTGCAGTGGTGCATTTTCCTGGCATAGATAATACTTCTAGCAATTAAATCTGCCCACACAGAGTCTCATTTGACAGTTTTATTGTCATTTATTAACAACTCATTTAGACTAATGACTGCTGGTGTAAAAGACAGCATCAGGAAAACCAACATATTTTCCCCGTATGGAGGATATCAAGTAAAATTATTACTCATACAGATCAGTAACCAGTAATCTGTGGCCAAACAGGTACAATTACCATCAAACGCACTACTGTATCAGCCGAGTATTTGGGTGCTCTGACCCATTTTGTCATTCTTTCAAGTATGATGAAAGAGAAGCCTAAATCTGTGGTACTGTCTCTGAAAAAAAACTCTGTACAATCCTCCTCTGCCCCCTCCTGCTAGCAATATAATAAGCAACAGAAATTGCTTGTTATATCCCTAGTGTACATAGAAAAAAAAGTAATGCAGAGCAATTACTGTCTTAAGGAGGCCATATTTTTATGAAAGCTTTAAAATGTGGTTCTTAAAGAAAATACTACAAAAAACATCTAAGATACTAAGATGTCCGATTATATTCATGTGAAGAAAGTTTATTTACAAACTGCTGTTCGTAACAAAACCCCCATGAAAACAGAAGGATTTAAATAGTATTCAAATTATGTTTACCTAATGGGATAGGTTTCATCTTTTCTTCTTTTGTTTTCATGTTTAGGAAGAGACTCCCATCCAAATGACAAACTCCAATCAAAATTTCCTCTGTTATGGCTATGCCCATAAGGAGATGGTTTACTGAATTCAAAAGTATTGAGATCTATAGAAGCAATGTCAGGGCTTACAACAGCAACAGGGTTCTCAGCTATTCTTGCCAATAATGGCTCCAACCAGCCATAAAAGCATTCACCTGTGGAGACAATGGGAGCAAACACTGAATCTTTACTTGGCTATAAAGTAGTACACAGAGAATTTTTCAACATGTCCAGCAAGCCAATATAGACTGCTTTTAAACAGCATTGCTAATTATACTTTTAAATAATATGAAACAGCAATAGGGAAGATGATATATTGCAAAAGCTTATACATCATAAAATATCTGCAACATTAAATCAAAGAGAACAGCATTATAAAGCAGATGTGGCATAGTTACAGATTACACTTACAATGAGCATCCAGAAAGGTAAGGGTCTCTCCTGTTGCTACGGAAGCTCCCAACAACCGTGCCGTGATCAGACCTTTTCTTTCCTTCTGACGGACTACTTTAACTATTTGGAACTGTTTCACATACTCATCTAGTTTATCGTGCAGGTATTCTAGAACAAGGAATCAGTTTTGGGATATTCAGTATATGTACATGCCCAAAATTTTACATTATTAAACTAACAAGGTAAACAACTCACTAACCCCAGAAACTACCTCAACATCAAAAAAGTAAAAATTCCTAAGTGCTGAAGGTTATTTTTAGGGGTTGAGTCTTGATGGGGATAGGGTATAGTAAGAGGTGACTGGCAGAGAACAGGAGATGAAATACTAAAAATATTCTAAACAAGAAAGGACATGCTTGTACATCTCTGCTGCAGCATTAACAGTTTGAATATCAATTCAACCTCCATTTTCAGAGCAAATGGATCACCTACATTATCTGTGGAACATGCAAATTCTTTCCTTAACGATGGCACATTTACACAGTTTTCAAAGGCTCTGTTTACAACAGCAACAGAAACCATATAGAAAACTATTTAAATGTTCAAGGTTTGAGAAACAACCCCACATCGCTCATTGAACATCCCACACCATACTTTGCCCGTCCTTAGCATTAAACTGTACTACTGAACATATTTCACATCCAAGTGTGCAGTATACTAAATACAGACTTGCAAAAAAGCGTAAATACATTAATAGAAGCATATATGTATAGACATGTTCCTCTAAAGTTAAGCACGTAAAGTTTTTTGAACTTGCATTTGTGTTCACACTCAGTATACAGTTAATTATCTTTGAGAGTCAGCTGGAGTGTTGAAGATTATTTTTCCAATAAATAATTTTACTTTCCAGTAAATACACTTCCCTTCGTACTAATGAAATTCATTTACATAAAGACAATCCCAATGATAAAATGCAAATTGCCACAAGTATTGGCCAATTTGTACTTGGATACTTTGTTCTATAAATTGCAATTGTTTTGAAGCACAAATTACAAAGCTACTTGTCATGCAACTAGTTATGCAGTTAAAGCAGCACTAGAATTGGAAAAACTAGAAATAGGGCTTAAAAACCTTTTAGAGAACAAGAATTTCATATCTGACTATCTCATGGGAAAAAAAGAGGAGGGAAGACTACTTCATATTTTAAAGAAAAAGAAAGGAGCAAAACCACTTAGAATACCGTTATACACATCAATGGTGCAAAGAGATATCCTCTTAATCAATTTATCTGCTACCCTAACATGTCTTCAATTAAAAAAAGAAAAAAAGTGAAAATAGAGAGACTTCTTACCATCTACACTGGCATCATCCACCAAAATAACCTCCTTTAGCAGAATGGCAGGAGATGTGTACATCACACTGTGGACAGTTCTGAGCAGAGTAGACCACGCTTCATTATGAAAAACTATTACAATACTCGTGGTTGGCAACGGCGGGCAACGCTTGAACTTTTGTTCAATACATCTACAGATAAGAAAGTGTCAGGTGTTACAAAACAGACAACAGTTTTTTGACTCAAACTCTTAAAAGAAACCCTTCTCTTTCTAGTATAAAGCTTTATAACTATGGACATTAAATATACACTTACTGTTTGCCACCTGTCAACTTTAAAGACTGGAGGTTATTACTCCAAGGTAATAACCACAGCCATTGCCTCACAAAATACACAGTTATGCTCACCAGTCATGCTCTAGCAAAGGTTATGGGGAGCTGCACCACAGGTACCAGCAGCAGCTCAATAAGTTCAGTCACTCCTGGCACAGATGGCTGACAACATGTAATCTGACACTGAGAGACTGCTCATAACCAAAATCCACTCTATCCAAGTCCTGAGTCTACATTAATAAAATTTTTCAAAACTACAAGACTCCTGCTGAGATATTCCATTACCTTGTTCAACAGTTTATAATTTCCTAATTTATTAAATTATGCTGATGGTTTTATTAACATTGAATACTAAAAAAACAGGGGGTGGTGTTTAAATTGGAAAAAAGTTTAAACCTCATTTTCATTTTTCTTCTAGGCAAAACCTAGCAGGCTTCCTGAAAGTTACTCAGAAATTTTAGCTGAAAGGCAGAAGCAGAAAACCTTATTTAAATATGGTTACTTTGAATTCAAAACCATGAAAGAAGTGAGCTTTTCTAAACATTCTTGGCTTTGGCAATGCAGACTGTTAGGTACAGCCAATCATTATGTACAGCTAGGAGACTTTCCTAAACTATCACCTAATGCTGAACTCAAATCACTTTGCAGTCTGAATTTCTGAGAAGTTTTTCAACTATCAGGACATACATATTTCAACATACTCAGGAGGTCGAGTGTCTGGTCCAAGGTCTCGGTGCAAAGAAATCCTATCACTTGCAAATGCATTAAAACAGTGTTTCTCTTCTCCAAGCTGTTTTTCTTTCTGTTCTTCTGAATTTAAGTTGGTGGTTTTAAATGCTTTACCAGAAGCTCCAGGAGCATTAGGATCTTGAAGGGGTCGATCTAGAAAGGGTTTTAGTTCCACCGCAGTATAGTGCCCTGGCAAACAGTGTCTCTCTCCAGGAATCTTAGTTTGCCTAACTGGTGCTTTTATCTGCATTTTTGGCTTTGCACCTTTGATATTGTTCATAGCATTTAACACAAGACCTAATACATGACTTTTCTTTCCAACAACTGGCTCAATTCCTGCTTCATCTTTAAAATCTTGAACACCCACTTCTCTTTGCAATAAAAATAAAAATACCAAAAAGACAAACACAATAATGCTAAACTTCCAAAGTTTCCAGTGAAAAAGTGTCTTGAATAGTTTGTGTGTTTTTTTCAAGGCCATTCTAGTTTAAAAAATTGCACACGACAACTTTCTGTGAGTGTTGTTCTTCAAACAGGTCACAGCATTTCTTGAAATTATAATACCTATAAATTAAAACAAAAAGTATTCATTTAGGCATCTAGTATATTCAACAATATAAAGCCACAAGAAATTAATGGGGAGGATTTAATGCACAGCTCCCAAATGTCAAATGTTATGTTTGCTACATCACTTAAATATACATCAAAGCTACCTATAAGATACCCAAAATGCCCTCTCCCTGTTTTTTGTATTGGGTTTTATTTTTTAAATACACTTCAAATAGAAGAACCAGAAATTAGGCATACCACTAAGAATAAAACACTATTTCTACACAGTGCCACTACTTCACATTCATTTTGTTACAATTAGGCTGTTTAAAATTAGAAGAAAGTGTTATTTAAAGTCTTCTAGAAGTAGAGATTTTTAGTTCAATGATGGGATACAAGGAAAACAGACGGAATCAATACATAGGTTCGAGTTGCATGTCAGAGAGAGCCACATGAAAAGTGAAATACAAAGACAGGAAAGACTTCTCAATCAACATATTTCAACAATTTGACAGTTTCCAATATTTTTTTTAAAAATCTATTTCAAGATAAGTAATCAGACTTCAAGTGGGAAATTCTTAGATTAATTTAGTTATCTAGTATACATGTTCAATGCAGACTTTATATAGGTAAATTGGAGTAGGTTAATTTAGCCTGGGGATCAAGTAATCATTCTGTATATTTTTTCATTCACCTGTGCTACATTTTCTGGCATGTGCTGCTGCAGCTCATCATGAGAACATGCCAAAGAGCTCTTGTCTTTCAGGAACTCTGCCACAGTTTTTTTCATATTCAGTGGCTTTCAAAGATGAAACTATGAAAAACATTTGAGAACTACCAAAATCTAACTGATTTGAATTAAATTCTCTCTGCAAAACTGGCAGTTTATAAGAGGGGAAAATAAAAAACCAGCCTGAATTGAAGAAACACCTTCATTTTTGTCTAAATTGCATGTATGTGAACCGAGAAAAGAAATAAACAGCATCTAGCTAAAAGTCACAGTTAGTTCCCACGTGATAACTACTGGTCACAAAACTGCAAAAACCCCTGCTTTTCTATTTATTTCTTTGAAATACAAGTAGATTCTGTATTTCTTAATATATAATAATAATATATACTCAGGAAGAGATACAAGTCAGAGAAAACAAAAAAACCCCAACCCTACATTGTTTCCTTCAAGAATTCGTAGGAGAAATTAAACATCTGCATTTCTTCACATTATACTGTGTTTCAAAGCTTGTGTCAGCTTAATAAACCTATACATTCAAACTACAGTACTTTTACCATAGAGTTATTGTTAAGAGAATGCAGAGGGGAGCTTATTACATCACTGCCAGAGAGATACTAAAAGGTACCAAAAATGTGCTTCACAACTCACAGAATTTAAAAGAAAACCAAAATAAAACCACAAAATCAGTCCACTTCTGTCTCACATATTATTTTCCCATTTTTCTTTAGTGCTGAAAAATTTGTACTACAGTACCAGTACCTATATACTGTAAGACTAAGAATTAAACTTTCATTCCCGATGAAAGGATTGCAACCAATTTACCAAACTGCCAGATTGAAAAATCTCTTGTTTTCTCACGAAATCTGGGGGGTTTATCTTGACTGGCTGCCAGACACCCACCTAGCCACTCTCTCCACTTCCCATCCTCAACATGACAGTGAGAAAAAAATAATCACAGCATATGCTGATTTGGAAGGGACCCACAAGGATCACAGAGTCCAACCCTTAGCCCAGCACAGGACCATCCCCAAGAGTCAAATCACGTGCCCAAGAGTATCATCTAAACACTTCTCAAACTCTGTCAGGCTTGGTGCTGTGACCACTTCCCTGGGGAGCCTTTTCCAGTATCTCTGGGGGAAGAACCTCTGTGTAATATCCAACTTAAACCTCCCTCGACACAACTTTCAGGTCATTCCCTCAGGTCCTGTCACTGGTTACCACAGAGAAGAGATCAGTGCCTGTCCCTCCTCTTTCTCTCACAAGGAAGTTGTAACTGCAATGAAGTCTTCCCTCAGTCTCCTCCAGGCTGAACAGACCAAGTGACCTCAGGCACTTCTCATACGGCTTCTCCTCAAGGCCCTTCACCATCTTCATTGCCCTTCTTTGGACGCTCTCTAAAAGCTTAATATTATCTTTTTTATATTGTGGTACCCAAAACTGCACACAATATTCAAGGTGAGGCTGCCCCAGTGCAGAGCAGAGCAGGACAATCCCCTCCCTCGACTAGCCTTTGAAAAACTCTTTTTATTGTCCCCCACCTTTCTGGCAGCTTCAACTCCAGTTGAGCTTTGGCTGCATGAATTTTCTACCCACCATGGTAAATCACATGAGCTAAAGGCAGTGTGATTACTTCCCAGTTACTGTCACAGGGAAAAAAGACCTGTAATGATGGATTTTAATTTACTGGCAATTAAAAATAGAGTAGGATGGTGAAAAAAAAAAGACTCAAACTACCTCCCCTGGCTCAGCTTCACTCCTTCGTTGCCAATTCTTCTATCTCCTTTCTCCCAAGTGGTGCAGAGGAGATGAAGAATAAGGGCTGTGGTCAGCTTGTCAGACATCATTTCTACCACTCCTTCCCCTTCACACTTTTCCCCTGCTCCAACATGGGTTCTCTCCGTGCAGTACAGTACTTCAGCATAAACCGCTCCAGCATAGGCCATCCATGGTTGCAGTTCCTGTCAGGATCTTGCTCCTGGGATGGCCTCTGCATAGGCTGCAGCTTTTTTCACGGCGTATCCACCTGCTCTGGCATGGTCCTGCACAGGCTGCAGTGCAGATACCTGCTCTGGGCTGCAGAGAAATACTTCTTCACCACAGTCTTCTCCATGAGCTGCAGGGGGAAATAACTGCTCCAGTGCCTGGAACACATTGTCCCCTCTTTCTTTACTGACCTTGGTTTCTGCAGGGTCTCACATTTTTCTCACTCCTCTTTCTCACAGCTGCTGTGTAGCATTTTTTACCCTTTCTGAAATACCTCATCACAGAGGCACCACCTGCTACATGGGTGGCTCAGCTTTGGCCAACAGTGGGTCTATTTTACAGCTGTCCGGAACCAGTTGTGTCCAGCCCAGAATGGGGGGTGAGCAACCCCTGTCTCTTATCACAGAGGCCACCTGTGCAGTCATCCTCACCCCCCCCACCCCATCTTGCCATGAAAATGTTATACACAATGTAAAACACTGAGCATATGTACAGATTAGCACCCAGCAAGAAGACTGTCATTGCACGGGCTACAGCCTCTGCAGGTTACTAATCAGGAATGCTTTTGTAACACCATCAAAAACAAAATCACATTACTGTTTCTCAGTGCACCATGCACAAGCACATATGGTACTAGTAAATCTTAAAGCTTAGAAATCAATAAGCAATATAAATATATCTTCCTCAAATGGAAAAAAACATCTATCTATTTATATAAAAATATATAACTTCTTTATCTCATAAGCAGTCATTAGGCATAGTCAATCAGGCAAACACATGGGGAGGGAGAGCATTGGCATTTGTCGGCTGGTTGGTCGGTTTCCAAACATTGTTGTCCTCAAACTTCTTTTATCTCATTAAACATGAAATTATGTTCTCCAACTTCCTCTAGACCTCTTCCTCTTGGTAAAGAAACTTAAATTTGTTCATGACAAGAAAAAGGTTAAGCTTTAATGAACATGATGGTGTAAGATGTCAAGAGAAGTGAGGTTAAAGTTAATTCTATACAGCAATATTGTTTTACACTGAAATTATGCTTAAACTGGAGAACTTAATCAATATTTGAGTTAAATATTTACGTCTGTCTCACTTTGTTTTAATGAGCTGGTCTGAGACTACTCAAAAGGGTAGAATACAGTGTGGCTGTTACCTGTCTCAGTACCAAAGAACAACTGCTTTAGAGAGTTAAAGTTACAACTGTCAGATTTCCAAACATCTTCAGTATTTCAATTAACACCACAAGACTTACTTATCTTATGCTCACTAAGACATTATTTTTTTCTAGTTTTATATTTGCTTCATTGCCTCCAGCAACAAAAAAGAAAAATGGACTCGAAAATAGCAAATATTTTTTCATAGATTTTTAGGACATACTTCAGAGTTTTGATGCTGAAATACTAACCTAATCTTCAAAAAAACATAAAAAGTACATTTGTGCATTTTACCAAAACCATAAACTAAACATCTTGTTGTTTTCATTTGGGACTATTTCCTGCACAAATTAAGCACATACAAATCCTCAGAATTCTCATGATTAACACAAGTTAAGATATCCATAAATCCAAATAACCAAAATCTAAAATTCATTCAGAATATTTTTTGCACTGCCTGCTTTGCATACATCTTCCTTCAGACAAATAAGTCATTAAATTACTCTCCATAATGAGCAACCAAGAGCAAGTTATTCAGCATTTGTCCTCCTGTGTTACTATATTCACTGTTATTTGCATACACTTGGACTTCTCTGACAACATATTTCCTTTTATTGGATACATCTGTCTTGGCTGCTCAGGTCTAACTACAGCAAGCTGCCACAACACACAGGGGAAATGTGTCTGTCCCTAGAAATGAAAAGACAACTCACCTGTGTTAGGTGTGTTGTGGCAGACAGCAACAAACCCTTTCAATGTGGATGAGTAGACTGCAGTAGCACACATGGCACGCAGGACGTGCACGGGAACAAGTGCAAGTGATGTTTCTTTTTTAGAGGAAGGATTGAGTGACAGCTTTGGGACAGCATGTGCAGCAGAGATGAAGTGGACAGAGGGTCATTTGCCACAAACATACAGCAAAACCTTTGTATATAGACACATGCTGAGTGCAGTTTTGTTAATAAAATATCTGACAGGGATATCGCTTACAATTAGAGAAGAGCTCTCTGCTGCACAAAATAGTAGCATTTTCCAGAACAGAAGCTACATTGTCTGAAGAATTTTTGCCATGAAAGCTCTATCTTACTTAGGATTTTCACCCGGATAATTTTGTAGCCAGAAATACAATCTTTATTCTGCACAAATGCCTCTCACATTTTCATGGCATAGCAATGTCAGTAAACACAGATCAAGCTACTGTTCAATCCTCCAGGACATGCTGAAGAACTATGTGGCATGATTAAACTCCCTGGGGTGACTGTTTAGCAAAGTGTTTAATCTTCTATTCATTAGTGTTACTTTCACTAATAGCAGTCTGGATTCTTACAGCACTTTGAAATAACTAGCCCTAAACACTAGAAGTTTTTTCTTTAAGAAGAAAATAACCAGAAAACTAATATGTACTAAAAAAGTCTTCTAAAAGTGCCAAAAAGCAGCTGCCACACTACTTCAAACCACATCACATGGGTAGTGTGTGAATTCAATGCAGTCTATGTTACATTATGCCACCCACTAACTCTGATGTCAGACTGTCTGCAAAATCTCTTACTTAGAAGAAAGCCTCCCTACTGTAGCCAACATGCAGACAACTCTGATTTTTTGTTAGCTTGGTCTGAACAACACTATAGACAATCATTTTTTTGTATAAAAAAATGAAAGTGTCAATATAAACCAAATCAGCAGAAATTCTTTCAGACCATGCCAGTGAGGCAAAATTTATTGAGGTTACTATCAACAATACACTTGACTGCAGTTTTTTTAATAAAACTATTTTAAAATCTACTTTTTTTTTATCTGAATGTTAAACAAGTTTCAAATGTTTCCTGACAATGCTGCTTATAGAACATAAAAAAAATAATAAAAAAAAAAAAAAAAAAAAAAAAAAAAAAAAAACAATTAAAAAAAAAAAAAGACTTAAAAAGGGAAAAATAGGAAAAATGCTTCAGAACTATTCTAATCAAAACTATTTAACTACATGACTTTGCTTCAACTTAATCTAATTATTCTATTCCAGCTTGTCTATTTTTGTTATCAAAGTATACAAACCCTTCATCAAACCCTGATGTCCCTTTAATAAGAAGGTGGGTCTGTGAATAGAAACACTGAGAAAATTGTTTTGGAAAAACAAGACCTGACACTTATGATCAACTGTTCTCTCCAAATTAGCAAAAGTCTGACAAAGATACTTCAGGATACTTTACCTGTAAGAAGTCCTACTTTCACCACTGGTATTTCTGAATCTAAAATTCCAGACAGGTTTTTTTGCATGAATATCAATGTAGATATTACTAAAATATTAGTTACTGAAATAATCAGTTTGGTAAATTAAATATTCGTCTTCTACCACCATGGAAATTGTAGGGTTTTTCTACCAGCAAAAAAAAAAAAAATAAATCACTGAACAAAACTTTTCCCACTTCCTAGAAGTACAACCTAGAGGAACATACATTCACACATGCACCTTTTGGGACAGATTAAGAAACATCCAATTTAGAGTGAACTTTTCATACAGGTTTACCTTAATATGGAATATGAAGGCTCTTCATACAATCGAAAACATTCAGAAGCACTTCAGAAATCAGGGAAAATTAAAAAAGTTGCTTCAGTCCCACAAACTATGCTACTGTTTACAAGCATATTAGCCCTTGACTGAAATAAAGGAACAAATAATAAAATGAGCTGTACTAAAGTGAAAGACTATAGCTTCACATAAAGAGAAACAGAATCAGCCGACTAGTTTCTATCTCCAACAATTGCAACAAAAGAGAACTGCTTATCTGTTTCACTAAGAACACACTCCTAGATAGGGTACACATACCTAAAAGAAATAGAGATTCACAAACGCCAGGTGCTGTTCCTCGGGGTACATTCTTTGAAGCTCAGCCACTGGAAATGTGGTTCTCCTCCTGAAAAAAAAGTTGTAAGAGGAATACTGAACGTATTCAGTTCCTGAGCCTTTGTTTTAGAAACATTGAGGGTACAAATTATTCTAGCAAATGCTGGATGCAATCTGCCTCACTGATTATTACACAGAAATGAGAAGCTGTAAATGGATGATCACACAGAAAGCTGAAGAAATTCTGAGCAACAGGAGCACTGAAACAACTTGCTGGAGTACAAATGGGTCAACTATCTCCTTCAGCAGTTTTTTTGAGATCAAAAAAATAATTTGGGAAAAAAACCCAAACAAATCATCACCAAACATTCCATATATTCTAATGGAAGTGCTTCAAACTATCACATGCTCTTTCAAAATGAGCACTAGTACTATTTTTCTACAGCCAAGCACTGTATGTGATAGGTAGAGTTAGACAGTTCCCTGTGACAACCAATAGCATATTAAAAATATACAGTAACCGTATATTATAAAAATATTTATGTCTTATTTTTACAGACCTGGGACTGTACATGATGTAAAGACCTAGGATATGTAAATGGCATGCACTTATCTCAAATTTAAATTTCACTCAACTCTGTATCTTGCCTTTTTTCTTGGTTAGATTGGTTTGGGCCTCTGTTAAAATAATTTTAGACTGTCCCTAAAAATGCCATGATGACAAGTGAGCATGATAGCAGCTGTAAAGTGCTGTTTTAACTCAGAAGGATTAGTGTCTGATTATCATTTAAGCACCAGAAGATAATGTCTGGATCATAACCAAGGGAGCTTTGTTTGTTTTACTGATTGTAGTAATGCTTCTAAGATAACAAAAGCATCTGTGTATCAAGTGCAGGTCTTGAAATCACAGTTTTCTGACTGGCCATAACCTCTTGTCGAAGTGATGAGTGAGAGTCTCCTCATGGGAGATTTACTGGGTCAGTGACTGCTAAACTAATCTTTGTCAGAATCTTCCAAAAGTGTCTTTGCTTTCCTCCTCTTCCCACTTCAATGTTTATTTTCCAGCTACATTTCACTGCTGAATAACCTTAGTCCCCTCAAGTTAACCATTTGACTATGGAATTGTGAAGTCAGTAGCTCTGTGATATGATTTCCCTGTTTGTAAGCAGAACTATTTCCTATGGCCCATATCAGTGAGTATTAGGAAAAATCAGACAATGGTAACAGCAAGTGAATAAATTCAGGCTTTACATGAGTGGACAAAACCTAGCACTTCATGGTCTAGAAACCTGAGCCACTTTCAAATCTTGTAAAGACAAGCACAGCAATGAGCAGATTGGGATGAGAAACTCATCAGTGCTGGTAGGCAACTGAGCAGCAGTTTGTATCATGAGTGCGATTCTCAACATTGATTCCAAAGAAAGGGGAAAGCCTGCACTAGCTACAGCTCTTGGAACAGATTAACCAGGCAGCAAACTTATGCAAAGCAAAAAAACCAATTTCAAAGCAACATGGCACGTCACCTAGAGCCACAGACTTTGGGGGAATGTCACAGAGAGGGCAATTATATCTTGTTCCTATTTTAACAGAGGTCAAGATATCTGGGCTGCCTCTGGTACTACCCAGCCCCCAAAAAGGGCCAAAGTTAAGTGGCAATAGCAATTACGAGGAAAACTGGTCTTCTGCTCCTTCCCACAGCGCAACAAAAATAGTAATTCAGGCTCTCTGTAACCAACTTAATTTTTACTTTGCTCTGTTATTGAGAAGCCTTTAGATGACAGTAGCAGATGCCAAACTGACCAGACCACTGAGCAAACCTAGCTAAAAAAGGAAACCAAACCCCGTAAAGTTGGCTGTTTTGTCTCAGTCTTTAACTCTGTCAGCTCAGCAGCGTAACACCGGCTTTAGTCAATCCTGAGTAGATCAATGTAATTTGTAGTTTTTTAAACAAGAGTTCGTTTTGTTACAGAAGACTAACATATAAAATACTACTGAGGTGCGTATATAACATTCATATTTCCAGTAAGAATTTTTATTTAACCAACAAAAAAGTTTATCTGTAAGTTCTTTTTTGTACAAGAATATTTTACACAAAGTTAAAAAAAAAAAATCCACGACACTAAGGTTATTAATGTTAAAATACGCTTCCCCTGTCAGTTCTCCAGACCCCAGAAAACATTCCCTAAGTATTGTCACGCGCTATGTAGAACACTAACAAACCGCCGGGGAAAAGAGACAATGTGGTAACTTCTCAAAAGCACTTCGTGTAGGATGAACTATCCCAGAACTAGCTGGCAATGTACACAATGGAACTACCACCCTGCTGCTATGGAATGAATGCGGTACTGTGGGCAAACTCTTGGGCGGGATCCGTACGTGGCAAGAGACACCTCCCTCGGTCAATACCTTCGGTGCATCCGGCCGGCGCTTCCCGGAGCCCCGTTTGCCCAGGCGGCAGCCTGGGCTCCTCGCCCACTCCCCGCTGGCCCGGTGCGGGGCTAGCCGGGCTGTCCCGGCCCCGGGCAAGGCTCGCAGGGCTGGGCTGTGCCGTTCAAGGGAAGGGCCCCGGCGCTGCGGCCTCGGGGGGCTCTGAGGGCACTGCGCGCGCGGAGCGCGCGCGGAGGGGCGCCTGAGGGGACCCCCGGGGCAGCCCCAGCCCCGCGCCCGCCCCAGGACCGCTCCCACCCCGGGAGGGCTCCCTCACGTCACGGCTCCCGCCCTCCCGCCGAGCCCCGCGCCCGCACGGGAGGCGGCGAACGGAGGAGAAGCGGCACCGGGCGCTGCCCCTCCGCCGGCCACAGCCTGCGGCGAGGCCAAGGGGGAGCGGAGCCGCGCGGGGGCTCCCGCAAGTGCCCCACTCACCTCGTCCGGCGGGAGGAAAGCGAAGGCGCTGCCGCGCGAGCGGCCGCGGGCACCGGGAACACCGGGAGTCCCGGGAGGCCGGAGCCGGGCGGGCTCTGCGGCTTCCGCCCCGCGCCCGCCAGGTGCGCGCGAGCGGCCCGCGCCTGCGCCCCGCGCGCCCGCGCCCCGCCCTCACCTGGCGCCAGGTGCGCGAGGCGCCGCCGGCGGGGAGGGGGCGGTGTGAGGGGTGTGAGTGCGGGGGGCACCCGGGAGAAGCCCCTTCCCTCCTCCCTGTTCTCCTCCCGCTCCCCCGGGACGCGGCGCTTTTGGCACAGTGACACAACGCGCCCCGCAGCGGTGCGCGCGTCACCGTCCGAACCGCGGAGCGCAGTTGGAGCGTCACGGCGGGGGCTGCGGGTCCTGCTTCAGCCATCGAAGTGCGATGTGGCGCAGGACGTGGTTGACCAAGCACTCCCCAGCTCAGGTTGCTGGGAAACAACACAAAATCCCTCAGAGGTGAGATCACAGATCGGAGAAGGGATATCACACTGAGCTCCCTCTCTTCACAATGCGGTTTCCCAGAGAGACAGATGCAAAATCTCTTCTCTTTTGAAGCATGGTTTAATTTACGGGAGAAAAAAAAAAAATAAAGTACTATTTGCACTCCCTTAATGGAGTGTAGAGTTTCCACTTCTTCCTATTCTCAAATCACTGTCCCAGCCCAGCACTTTAAAGCTTCATTCTCTCACTGCTGAACTGCAGGTAACAATGAGCTCAGCAACTATGTGCGCAGTTGGCAGTAGTTATACTGATTCTACAGCAGTAACAAAAATGTTGATACCAGTTTTTTTACAAATTAATTAATATTGCCCAGGAACTCTTAATAAAAGATTTAGACCAGCATTTATCACAATTAATATGTTCTGGTATTTCTAGCATGTTAAATTCCTCCCTTATGCCTTTGAAAGTTGAGGCCTGAACTGTAGCTACATCACCTGAGACATGCACAGCCAACATTCAACTTTCATAGCACAAAATTAAAGTAAGGCAAATTTCTAATGTGAACATTTAAAAAGCTGCTGTTTTCCAGAATAAAACCTGCATTAACAGGCATACTGACTCCTTAAAAAAACCCAATTCCAACCAAACATCAAGAACAACAAAAAAATAACTTCAGAACAAGACTTAGACTGTTCACTTAGCTCCTCTTCTAGCAAGCACCATGTCACATAATTAGCAAAAACATATAGCAGAGATAAAAGCATGTGATTTTTGCCATAATGGTCCAATTCTCAACATTTTAAGGCAGATCAATGTTTCAAACAACAAAGGGTTCTGATTTCATTGCAAGATGAAGCAAGTGGTAAAACCACTGAGCAAATAAAGCCAGATCACGAAATCACTGTTGTGATCTTTGAAAAGTGGCATAATCACAAGCTGATGGAGAAGTACTTGCTAATGAAATACTTCCTTGATTTCTTATTTTCTCCCTGTTCAGCACTGTACATGAAACACATTAATGAGCTCTCTCTGTCATCAGCTTCTGAAGAGCCAGAATCCACTCCCACTATTGAGACTTCCCTGAAATGTCTCCTGGACCAATTTCAAAGATAATTAGTTCAGAAAATTTTCAGCAAATTCTCTAACGTTATAAACTCTGTTTAAAGTATTGTGTTTATAAATAAACTACTCACCTAATGAATAACAAGATTAAAGTTTAGTTTACTAAACCAGAGCTGCCTGATTTTAGAAAGTCTACAGCCTTTCTAAAAATTACTGTAGCTACACTACATTTGAGAACTTATTCACAATAGACAAACCTAGTCCAAAAACAGGAAAAAACTTTCACATTCCTTTTACTCTAGTTTTCCTTAAGAGTCTTACTAGTTATTTTTAGCTACTCATACTAATTATTTTCCCTAATGGTACTTCCTAGACCATCTTCTAGTATTGGTACAAATGTGAAAAAAGCAGTAGCAAATTAAAAAAGAATTATTACTTAGAACAGTTATCAACAATTTTTACATGCCCTCTAGAATATATTCTAGGCATTCTGTACCTGCAGGTAAAAGGGAGGCAAGAGAGAAGAGGAAGAGACACCTATGGCTTATGTTGCCATAGCTACAAGATGCTTAGATTTTCAGTTTCAGTGAATGAATCAATAGAAACCACAGCTTCACTCTCCTCTTTTATTCATCAAAGGCAAAACTGGAAGATGGGTTGCTAAGCAACATCACACTAAAGAGTGCAGTGCTTTGAAATCAGCATTACTGACTCCCCTCCATCCCAGAAGTCTCTTCCATTCAAACCCACTTATTAAGAAAAGGGCTAAAAAACCCCATCAAACTACCAGAACATGCATTTTTTAAAATAAGAAACTGAATTAACACTTTCAATTAGTTGGAGTAAAGAGAAATGGCACAAAGCCACTCCTTCTGCAGACAAAGTAAAAAAAAAAAAATTGTAAGCACAAGAAAACTTAAATTGGCTTACGCAAACTAAAAGGGATACGGAAAGGACATTTACTTCTTCTGAGATTACTATATTAAAGCAAGATTTTCTCTGAAGGACTACTTGGAGCCACCTTTTTTTTTTAAATTGAAATCCAAAGATGTGTGTCATTTACACTTTTCTTTTAAAGACCTCATCTATAAAGACACCAGTGCCTATATATGCTCGAGAGGGCTAATGGGGATTCAGAAATCTTTTACCTGCATGCAGGTTTATGCATAAAACTCTTCACCAGAAGTTAGCAACAGAAAGCTTAAAGTCTCAGTCTAATTTCTATCAACTAATTTCTGTATCTTATCACTATGATGACTTAATCTGTCACACCCATCTTATGAAGGGCTAATGTCCATCTTACGAGAAAAACGTAGATGCAGATGTCTTCCCTTTTTTGAAAACATCTTGCATTTATTAATGTAAACCCATCTATTTTTATTCTAAAATTCAGCTAAATGTTATTCCTATGCTATCCAGGAAGCAACAACACATTGATCCTGCATGAATAAGGCTGTGTACAAAGAAATGCTGTTTTACTAGAAACTGCCTCAGTAAGGTCTATGTACTTATTCTTTTAACAGTGGAGAAAAAAAAAGCAAAAGAGCATAGTTTAAGAATTCATAGCACAGTGACTCCCACAGCCCAGCTCCCTTAGAGTTCCCCCCAGCCTTAGCATTTTTTAGGTCCTTTCATGTTCCTCCTTCCACTCCAATACCATCAGTTTTTCCCTACTATACTAAATCTTTGTCCTCTGAGCTCTATCATACTGCAAAACTTACAGGCAAAAAACCAGGGAGCTTGTACTGTGCCTGGTACAGTCATGTACCCAGGGACTGCCAGTGCTCAAACAGAACTGACAGGCTACACCGTAAGTCTCAAGGTTCCGTAGGGAAGGAGACGACACTTATTTGAGTCTTTTCTCAATTCTAATATTCACACAAATCTTGTGGAAGTGTCATAGTCCTGAAACACATCTATTCATTTTAGTTTAGCTGACCAAGAGCTCAAAAGTTACTGGAATACAGTAAACAAACTGCAAACACCAGCAAACACTGTGTAAGTGATGCATATCCATGTATTCAGGAAACAAGGCTATAAAGTTACTCAAGATACAGCATCCACGTACTGATAAGCAAGATTAGATTGATTGTAAACAGGCTGCCTTTTGCAGCCTTATCATTCAGTTGTCATAAAAAGAAACCACTGAAAGTGACTTTACACAATGTCAAGAGGAGAAGCTAAAATCAGCTGAGGAGGAAACTGAAATTGTTTATAAAATAAAGCAACTTAATCACTAGCATTAAGAATTCCCTTTTCATGCCAAAACATTACTTTTCTAGTAAGATACATACAAGTGCTGTTTGAAAACCAAATACAGCAGTACAACAGTGGCTTTTGTTAGCCATTATTTTTTTCAAAAATTCTGCATCAGTGAAAACAATGTAGACTTTCTCTTTCCTCTCATTCATGACATGATATTGCTCCCTTAAAGATACACAGGTATATTCTGTATGTGAGACAAGATCATAATCCCCTCTAATAAAAATTATTTCTCTAAAAAGGTGTTTTATATGGATTAAACAAATTAAGTGCTAATTTCTGCACATATGACTGTATTGCCTACACATACAATGCTGAAAGACTAAGCACTGCAAATTAAGGACATTTCTTTTCATAGAAATCTGACAGGTGGGTAATAGACAATGTGAGCAGAAAGTAAATGTGAGACTTGCATGATCTATAAAAGTCTTTACTGAATATTTACATAGGATTTTAATTTTAACTATTACATTTTCATTAAAAATGTAAATTTCACAGAGAATAATGCACATATCTGTTTTTTCAAGATTAAAAAAAAATAAAGCATGACTTTATTATATGTAGAAAAAATGCCTCCATAACTTAGAAATACACCTGTAGAATAAAGATTACACTGTAATTATTAAGTAATGGTTTACACAAACTGAAATCCACCATCTTAACAATGTATCTCCCCTAGACAAGACAGGTTGTTATTTTGAATGCTATTTCAAATAAACAAAACAAAATACTGAGATATATGCTTTAAAACAATTTTATAATGCTGACAACACTCTTTTATGATGTCACTTTACAAAACACACATAGGAGTAGAATTCTTTCCTAAACAAGAAAAAATACAATTTCTTTCAGGGTTGCAGACTTCTCCTGAAAGTAATCCAGATCTCTAATATAATTAAATTCATCCTATTCACAATACTTCTGTGCTGATACGGTCTCTGTCACTGCAGCATTTCATAGCTTCCGAAGTCTGATTAAACAAAAGTCTATGACTCATAAAAAAACTCGTTCAGGTTCTTAGTGATGCACGGGCCTTGTCAAGTATTTCCTTTCTGATCTTTGGATAGTTTGGATGTGCTCCAAGGACCTGTCAAAAGACAAAAAACCTCAAAAGTTCTGTGTCTAAAAGGAAAGAACTCTCTATTTGGTAATAACTCTCATCATTGAGCTTACACATTCTGAAACTAAAATAACAACATGACCAGTTTTAGAATGCACCAATATTTCATTGTGGCTAGAGACCACCACATACAAAGGTCAAACCCAGGTCTATCAGAGTCACCTCGCTTCCATTTCCACTGTCCTGTCACCTTGGCACAAAAGACACGGGTCAAAGGCTTAAGCCTCTGAGTGGCTTGAAACATATCAGAACAGGGACCTCTGGAGACATTTCTGAGGTTTTAAATATACACTCTCTGCAATTATATGTTTTCACATATCATTTCACATACTTTCTCTGCCTTTATGTTTTCACTCCCTTTAGGCTCTTTCTTACTATATCTACTTCATCTTCTTCCTTTCAATTCCCTCTTCTTTCTTATCCTTCCATTCAATTTGTCCTTTCTAGTTATCTTGATTTCCCCAAGAAGAACAAATGTGATTTATTTTATTATTAATACAAATAATTATTCATTCATAATGTTCACTCTACTTTAATAGTAGCCCTTCCTCTTACTCTGCATCTGCTCTACTTATGTTTGGACCATACAAAGGCAAATACTTAAGTTACTTTCCAACAGTATCTTCTGATGCCAACCTTTGACTAAACTGCTTGAGCTATACTTCTGTAGGGATTGACCAAGTTGCAACCACATGGCCAAAAGAACGTGGTGCCATTTGAATATCCTTTCATATATGACAGCCAGTCCACTTGTATCTCATCTATCTGGTGGCCATGTTGCTCAGGATAGAGCAGATTTATTAAATAATTTAATACAATTTATTAAACAGGGCACCTTTTTGACATTAAGCTATGTGTTTTAGAAATTTAAACTGAACAAAAAACCAAAGATCACTATATAAAAGAATGTTGCTAGAGAAGACAGACTATTAAGTACATATGCAAATTCTACCTTATGACAAACATGGATTGCATCAACATATCTCTTCCCTTTCAGGTAATTGAAAGCCAGCTTGTATCCTGTAAATAAAGGTGGGGAGAGAGAGGAGCAAGGGGAGAGGAAGGCAACAGTTTCAGTTTCTGTATAGAGTAACAAAAACATCACATTTGAATTCATTTTGGTCATCATGTGTTTCTAAAGTTAGTATGTTTGTTTTCTAGCGTTCTCTCATATAAGCCTGGTAGTGATCAAAATTTCTACTGAAAGTCACTTCAAGTAGTAAATAAAAGTCCTTTACACACTGATAGCTCTGTCTGAATCAAAAGGAGTCATTATTCTGGAGAGCATGTGCTACTACAGAGAATAACATAATGGTTGTCCTCTCAATTACTGCGGTACCCCACAGAGTTTCTCACTGTGACCTACAATACACTGTCCCTCTGTAAAGGTAATTCCGTTACTAAAGGACAAAAGGAAAAAGAATCAGGGTAACAAACTAGGGATGTAAAATGCTATTCTGTTCCACTGTCAGCAGACCACTGATATAAAAAGTCACATGGAGTAGCTAAGTTGCATAGCAACCTGCCAGGCTGATACTTTCAACTAAGAGGTAAAGCTCAAGTTTATCAGCCTGGACAAAGACCAGGCCTGAGGAAAAAAAAAAAATCACATTATAAGCATGCAATTTCCAAAATCTGAAATTTTAGATCTTTCATTTCTGAACTTATCCTCACTAGCAAGTAAGTACTCAAGAAATGACAACTTTGTTATAATACGTTTTATTTGATCAAGAACTGCAATGTTTTAGCCTAGACATTCATGGCTCAGTCTACAGAAACATCTAGTAAAAATAAGGGCACAAAAAAGGACCACAGATTAAAGACTGGAAGTAGTATGCATTTCTGAGGGACAATAAACATATTCCAAAATCTGGAACAGAATTTGTGTCAACCACCTGCCTTGGGACCCATGGACAGACTACAGGTGTTGAGTAAGAAAAGGGCATTTTATCCTATGTATCCATTTCATAAAGGCTTCCTACATTTAAACAGTCTAAATATGTGGCAGTTTAGTGCAAACTTCAATGTACCATACAAACTGGAACTTGACTAATGTCCCAAGTTTTCAGCTGGCCATCCTTTTTAAAACAGATATATTTAAAGACATTTAAAATTATTTATTTTTTAAAATTTTAAAATCTGATCCATATAAACAGATAATCTGTCTGATTATCAAAATGAAATGATCAAATCAATGACCTGCCACCATCACATATGTATTATGTCTTATAAAAGATTCTCTGATATAGACAGTACATAATAGATTACTATAAATACATTATTAAAAAATTAATGCTGTCCTTATAGAGAAGTTGTTCACAAATAGCAAACTAAAACTGTTTCAGATCAAACCTTGTACTAAAACAGAAAGCAGAATCTTCTGAAGTATCATAAAGCTACTACCTCTTGCCATGGAAGCTTTCCAAGTGACTGTTCAGTACACCTTTTAAAATTTGTGGGTTTTATGTGAGGAAAAGCAGTGATACTCTATTTCTATGGAAAATTAAAAGCAGTCTTTCCAGTATGGGCTAGTTGTTTCATTCCTACTGTAGTACCCAAAATCATACTTACAGGTTATATATATACACATACCTACTGTTGGGTTTGTTTGGTTTCCATATTTCCAGGCCATCTCATAATTTATTGCTGCATCCTTATATGCTTGTTCCTTTTCCATTATATATCCCATGTATTCATAAGCCTTGCAGCATGACTGCAAAACATATATATTCACTCAAGATTTTACTTAGGTAAGCTTATATATAATAATACCAACAGCTTAATTGCTAAAATACTTCAGATCTGTACAACTGGAAAGTACAAGTGGTACTTGTCCTAACTTTGATGACATGACAGTCTTGATTTAAAATATCTGTAATACAAATGAGTTATATGGAATTCTGCATTATTCTGGGTCAAGTACAGAGTTCATCACAGAGGCCACTGGAATTACTCCTTCAAAAATAGATACCTCTCTCAGTTAAGAACTCTACAGCAGCTGCATTTCAAGTCTATCTGGAAGGTGCTGTACCTTCCACAAATATTGTTTTTTAATTTTTTTCTTAAAAAGGTATTTTCATAGCTTTATTTTTGAAAACAGTTTTACATTATAATTT